TTATTTGTATTAGCCTTATATTGTTTTATACAAAAAAAGATAATTGTAATTTTAGGATTCTTACAAATGTGTACAAAGTTTACCACCCCTACCCATGGAAATATCATTGTAATTACCACCAGCGGTTATTGTAAGTTTTTCTCCAAAATTTATAATTTTGGTGTAGATATACATCTATGTCGTGTTTTAGTTAAACATTTTACGTTCTTTGTTATTATTTTAGCACTGAAGAGGGACTGGAAAATATTAGACCAGCCCGAAATGCATTTGATGTAGTCTTTACAAAATAAATTTAATTTGCCAATAAGATTGCTGTGAGATTTGTCTACCAAGAATATTTTTGGATTACAGAGACTAAAATCGTCATATTATCGATAAAAGAAGATAATATTTAGTATCGACAGTGCAGATAATTTGAATCCGAGTTAGCAAAAAATTAGATTATGATTCTTTGATTCTTATTTTCTATTCTGCAAAAATATTAAAGAATTGTATGATTTATTTTTTTTAGTTTTTTATGAATTGTTATTTTATGTTTGTAATTAATTTTAAATATTACAATTTTATTTTTATTTGTACATGGACCCGCAAAGGTCTAAATTAGGCCCCAAGTAGGAAAATAATTTCTTTGGATCAAAATCAATATGGATGTTGTTACGAATGACAAATCTTAATTTCCCACACATTCATAGTCATTCAGTGAAAAAAGAAAATGACATTATACCAGAAGTGAAGTTCAAACATATATAATAACTTTATGGTATCCTTCTGTGTTAATGCAACAGAATGTATTGAGGAGAGACAGTGTTTTCCAAGAATGGGATCAATCTGAGTGAAAATTGTGTTTTGGCAGATATGGCAATATCCCACTATGCTCGAGACAATTGCTGCCTTTGATTAACATATGATACAGTACCTTCCTTGTGAAACAATGCTCCTAAAGGTTCTGGAAATTCAAATGGCAGCAGACCATGTAGTAAATTTGATTTGAACACTATTCATTTTCACATATCCTCTAGTTATTGGAAGTATAAAACTGCACAGGGACTTTGAAAATTTTATCTTATACAAGATGTCCTACTATTCTTCTAGAGAGTTAAAATATGGGTATAATTCTAGAAAATTTTTTCTTAATCATACACCTTTGTATGATTCCTAGATGGAAATGAAAAAAAATCATCTTATCTCACAATAAATTCAACATAATTTTTACTCATTTTTTTTGTGAGGTTAAGTAGGGAGATCATGCTGGTCAAACTGCTATCCCACATGACTCATTTGCAGCTGCTTAAATGATATTAGTATAATGGACTGTGCTCCATCTTGTTGAAATCACGTATCAAAACATCTTTTGCCAGTACTCAATTGGCATAACTTTCCTAAACCATACCAAACCAAATGATTTATGCTGATTTCTCACTCCAGTAAATGAAATTAGGTTTATTATTTTCAGATGAAGTAGTTTAAGAATTATGTGCTACCAGTTGCATAATTGTATTCTGATAACTCTAATTAATCTTATGTGGTATGGGTGACATTTTGTCATTCAAATATCTTCTTAAACAGGCAATGTATCAATAGCTTTATGATGAGAATTAACATTATATCCATATATTCTTTTTTAAATTCAAAATCTTAATGGTATTAGGTACTTTTTCCTAGAAATCACAGAGATTAATCAAATTTTCAATCTGTCCAACACTTAAAATGCTTATATGTCCTTTGGGCTTTATTCTTAAAATAAATAGTAATTAAAATGAAGGATGATTCATATAGTGGCCATGGAAATTGCATTCCCCAGATGTGCAAAGTAGTATTGGTTAGGTTGTAGTGTGAAAAATAATACTTATTGCTACAATAAGTATTATTTCACACTACAACCTAACCAATACTGTTAATGGTTTAGTAGGATTCTGTTATTGAATGGATGAGTTTCTTTCACTAAAAAATAGTGAACTCACCTCTGATACACTTGTCTGATACCAGCTTAGACAGCAAATGAACAATGGGCCTTTTTTAGAAATTTCTTCTAAGTGACAGTAATAGACCATAGTGGAATTACCTTGATAGATGGTAATAAAAAGCATTTGCATCAATCAATCACTGTTAAATTCATCTAAACAGTATGTGGGATGATGATGTACATTTTGTGCACTCACTTTAACAACTGTCTGTTCTTCCAAACTGAAAATACTCTCACAGGTTCACGTTTGCACTCACTGAAGACTTATTCTCTTGCAAAATAGCACAAAATCTTTCCTGCATTCCCAATTTATACCAGTGAGTGTTTTTATAAAGAAGTAATTGATGTCAATCATGGTCTTTCTATCCTGATAATATTTTGTATTCTTAAATTTGTCTACTAATCTCCAAAAGATTCCTTCAGTAAGCAAATAAAAGTAGTAGTACTTTATAATAAATTTTATTAAAATTATCTATATTACAGATTTCTGATTGTTGACTAGAAATATTACTATCATAGGGCTAAAGAAAATTAGTTATGTTTTTTTTTAATATTTTGAGCAATAAATATATTTACTCTTGCAAATTATCTGTAAAATTTTCCCATTTTTTTGACTTGGCAGCATCAATGAAACTGGTCTATTTTTGTCAGTGATTATGAATGTAATAAGAACTCAAATTCCAAAAGTGTTGATTTGTAAATTAGAATTATGAATGTTTTGCAACCAACTTTTCTTATTTGAATAACAACAAAGTATTTTTGTTCTCCACGAGATGTTTATTAACTTAATGCTGTTCTAAAGTAAGAACATGGAATCTTCCAAGAATAAAATTCTGATTTCTTTATTTGGTGTAAATAAAAGCCTCACTTCATTCCAAGCTAAGATGGCTAAAGCTGCTGTTGTAATATTCTGTAATACACTTTATGTTTGGGTGGGACAATCAACAAAATTTAAATATGTTAAAATATCGGTTCTTTGCTTTTTCAACAGTGTATATATAATCATTACAGCATAAACTATTAAATAATGCTTCTAGCCACATTTATTGGGCTAATCAATTTAAACTGTGTATAGGTGAGTAGCAGCTCAAGTTGTATGTGAAGAAAAAAAAAATAGAAAAGTTCTTTTAGTGCATTATTTGCAACTCTGAATAATACCATCATCAAATGTATTTTATATACAGTGGGTGATTGGTTAACGAACACTTTTACGAAAGATTTTTATGATCGAACAACGAACACATGTTCGGATAATGAACACTTCACTGAACAAACACAAGAAGAAGCGACGTAAAATAACGAATACTGATTGGTCTTCCTTTGTGTTCAGGCAATAATTCAAAACTTTTTGGAGCATGAGAGATGCCGACTGACCTTCAACCCAGTTTTATGCTGATATCTGCTATTAAAGGTCTTTTGAAGTGGGAGGACGTCAGAACAACAGTCTTAAAATGGCATTCAAACCAGGTTGAGGTTAATAGGCTTAGGGATCTCTACAATTACAATGTGATTAATTGCTTCTGAAAAATCATGAAGACGACAGAAAAGCAATCGACACTGGACAGATTCTTTAACCCCACAAACGGAAAAAAACATGACAAATAAAAATGAAAGACCGTGTATATATGTATTTTTATTATTACATACGAATAAACGTAGTAAGAAAGTATATATTTTTGGGAGTCTCCAGAATGAATTAATCAAATTCCCATAGAAACCTATGGTAAATCAATAATCGGATAGCGAACAAAGTCTTGGAATGGATTATGTTCGTTAACCAATCACCCACTGTATTTGTAGGTGAAATATGTCAAACTGTCTTTGACTTATACATATAATACATTAATCTAATCCAGTTTAATTATTTTCCTCTAACTTGTAAAAATGAAGTATTTCAAAAAATGCAATAATGAACTGATATCCTTTATGAGAGCAGTTTAAAGTAAAAATTCATAAAAAATATATTTAGTGCCAAATTTATAAAGTCCCAAGAGAACTTTTGTTTCAGTTATGAATTGCATTTAACTCACTATTACATAAAATATTAAATAAGTTTACCTTTTCCTTCTTCAAAACAGGAAACAATATCTTTTGCAGCAGATAAGACACACATGTTGATGTTAAAAACCGGACGACCTTTGCACCACTTCAAACAACTATGCGCTATTCCTCTCTCACGACAACACGGTCTGTGATCTCTTTCATCTTAACAAAGTTTTGTTATTACTAAATTATTTGTAACTTTAGTAAAAAATTGAATTTTTGTTAATACCTGCTGCACAGTTCATTAATTTATCCAAATCTTTGAGACAATGCGGGCGATTCATGATCTCTTCGATGGCAAGTCCTCGTTCACAAGCGTCTTGACATTCTCTCTGTACATTTTTTTCTTTACAACATTCTAAAAAATAAAAGAATTTTAGTAAAGTTTGAATTGTTTTTTTTTTTGGTTTAAAAATATTTACCCATAATGCTCTGATTAAAATATCTTGATAATTTTAACTTCATGGGAAATTTAGCATTTCCAAACTGATTTTCAGCAACACAAAGATATTGTCCTTCCTCTTGCTTGGTGACCTTTGGTATAGCCAAACTCGCAACATACGTGTACATCTCCTGCCAACGGAATCATATTATTTACATCATAGTAAGATTTGTTATTGTAAGTATTACTGTAATACCATACCTCGTGATGAGGTGACAACTGAATTTCAAAATTTGGTGCTTTTCTGATAGGTTTTTGTTGAGATAAATCTCGATACCAAGTAATTTGAGGTTTTGGATTACTGGAAACAATACATTGCAATCTAACGGATTGTCCTTCTTCGGCATTGATTGTACTGCTGGCAATAGTTTCTATTTCGGGTTTAACTTAAAATTTGCCAAAAATTATGTAAATGTGCTTATTTAAATTTTTATAAAAAAAATAACTGAATGGAACATAATGTCACCAATGCAAAGAAAAATCCATTTAGCAAGAATGCTACAAAATGAATGATCACAAAACCTCATTTATAAAATTTCCCACTTCTCATCACAGCTGTTAATGATTTCAATATTTTATTTTTTAAAATTAATTTAGTGTTCATTCTTGCAATTATGATTAAATTATTTTTTTCTCTGATGCAAGACATTATGCTCCAATGTAAATATTGTTTATAACTAATTGACTTACAATTTACACTTAGCTTTAAAGAACTCTGGGCACCTTCTCCATATCCATTATCTGCATAACAATCTACTTTCGAAGCATTTCTGTATATATGAGGTGTCACTAACGCCACGTGACTCTGCTGCTGTTCAACTTGTAATTGTCCATTAAGAAATATAGACACAGTAGGAATGGGTATACCAGTTGCGACACAGAGCACAGTTACGTTATTGCCTTCTAAGAGAGGTTCGGGAGATATGATAACCGGAGGATTTAAAAATGCGGGTATGGCGGGATCAGTCCATGCAAATATCATTTCGGACAGATGACTCTCTTCCGATCCACCTCTTGCTTTCACTGCAATTGCGTATTGTGTATTCAGTGTTAAATTAGTAATCAAAATGCTGGTAAAAGACGTAGCAGCCGTGGTTGTCGAATTTTCCAAATTGTCACTGATATTAGCTGCTTGATAATAGACGATATACGTTAGAAATGCATCAGGAGGAATATGCAGTGGTGGACGCCAAGCAACTGTTATTGAGTCTGTAGTCTGATGAGTGACTTCTAAAGAATGAGGAGGACTCAAGCCACCTACAAAGATTGTGATTTCGATATCATTATTTTTAATTCAAAGTAATTGTATAAAATTTGAGAAATAAACTTACTGATAATGGTGGTATTATTACTTCCTGATGAAGGTGTTTGAACAACTAATACAAGAGATGGAAGTGAATTTCCAAATTCATTAATTGCAATAACATAGATACTATAATAAGTATTTGCTTTAAGATTTTCCAATTCTGTTTCTGTACCACTTACATTCAGTGTCTGTGAAAACAAGATTATATTAAAAAGTATATTATTTAATATTTAAAAAAAAATAGTATTTTATACTTACATCACTATAGTATAAGGGATTTGGAGGATATTTATCTTCAATTTCTGTGTATCGTACTTCATAACTTGTAATAGTTGCAGCATTTTCAGATGGGGCACTCCATTGAATTTGTATCCCGGTTGAATTTACAAGAGTCGTATGTAGTTCTTCTGGAGGTCCTGGCAAAATATCTGCACCTTCTCTCATACACTAGTTGTTAAAAATGAGAGATCTGTACATTTTTTGATAGATATAATTAAAACAGTGTTTTTGATCTTTACCTGCACTATTTTTCCAATATCGACCAAACAGGTAGGAGCTACGATATGTGGAGGTGATTCTAAGACACCTTCGCATAACGTCAGGCAATCCCATTTCACGCCACGACGCTGACAGCACGGAATATGATTTCTTCCTCCGGCTCCGCAACGTATCAATACATCCATTTGATTAGCGCAGGTAAGAGCCAAAAATTCAAGATCGGACATTTTTACCTATTAAATAATATAATTAGTTTTGTTATATGAATAAATATGATATATCTTTTATTTATTATTATAATTATTACATTATATGTACACAGAGGAAGACAGCTTGATCTCAGTTTTGCAGATATACAACATGCAGTTACGTTGTAAACAGATTCATTATTTACTTCAAAATCTTTTTCGGAAGGAAGCGGCCGAGTCATGAAAACGGCATGAACGGAATTTTGACTCGTGCCGTATTTATTTTTGGCAACGACGTAAACATCATATCTATAAAAATAAATTTTATTTAAAACCTATTCAAAATAATACTTAATTAATACTTAGAACAACGTGTTGTTCTAAAATATAAGAGCTGTTAATACCTAGTTGCAGGTTGCAATTTATCCAAAACTGTCGGTGATCTAACATCAGGTAAAACATTATAATCAAAATCAGATGATATTTCTTTCCAGTAGAGAGCATAACTAGTAATTGTATGTGCTAATGTGCTAAATAAAACAGAATATATACATTAATAAATCAGTTTACAAATATTTTTGAAATTAATATTGCATAAAAGTCTGCTTTAAGTATTGATATTAGTTTGAAAGTTCATTAGAAATGTTAATATAAGAACAATAGATTCCAAATGTTGATTACTTTGAATGGGTTCAGACTCCTTCAAGATGTTATATCCCATCACCAAATAAATCAATAAATTACCTGAAAAGAATAAAACTGATAGATGTTGAAGAATATGAATTACTTAAAATTATTTTGATAGTAACTGACATGGAAAATATTTTAGTTTTTATTAATCACTTTATATAAAATCTTCTAAATGAGTTATTTGTTAGTTCAACTAATAGACGAGTGATTTATACGTATAAAATATTAATAATGTTATTTACTGTGGTGTTTCCCATTTTAAAATTGCCCAATGAGCGTGGATGCTCGCAACGGCAAAATCTTCAGGAGGTCCGGGAAGAATGCCGTAATGTTCGAGTAAGCAGTTGCTATATACAGACATGTATTCTAAACAAATGAAATGTCTATAATCGATACGACTAATGTTTCCGTGACAGAAGTCCATACAAACTTCAGGCAACCCTCTTCTCTGACAACATTCCGAGTGATCTACTCCTCCTGCCATACATTCAAATGTGACATTTGCCCAAGGAGCACAGACCATAATATCTGTTAATCTATTAGAAAATAAATTAATTAACAAAATTTACATTGAAATTAAAGTGCAATCAAGTTACAAATTCTACCTTGTTTGTTCGGCTCGGGTTGGATCACACAGGGTACGAAGACAACGTCCCAGAGGAACACCTCTCTGTTCGCAGCAACCGATAACGTCGGGCAGATGAGGAACCGTAGTTTGTGGTATTATTTTATTTGTATCGTTATTACTGAAAGTAATAGCCCTGGAAGCATATGTCGGTAAACTAGTTCCGTGTGCGTTAACGGAAACCATTTGAACTTCATACATAGTAAGAGGTAATAAATTATTCACTGTGTAGGACGTTTCTCTGCTCGGTATCTATTAAAATTTTAACATAATCTTAGAAATGCAAGCTAAACTTAGAAACAAAAATATTTTACTTACTTTAAACGTAAATTGTTTCATGGTGGATAATGCAGTACTATTATTATCTATAAATATGTCATCTTGCTGCAAAAAATAAAAATTTCTAAATTCATAGAAATATGAAACATAATAATTAATATATAAATACATACCACAAAATAACCTTCATTATTTAACATATATAATTGTGTTACATTCATTTTAAAGTAACTTATATTAATATTTTGATGAGGAAGCTTCCAGAATACCTTCAATTGACTAGATGATAATGGTAAGATAGTTAATTCTTTTGGTGGTCCAGGGAGAAGTTCTTAAATAGTGCAAGATATTTTTGTTTTAAAAGATATAAGAATGTTATAATTAACTAATTTTCCTTAATATTACCAATTCCTTCTGCAATGCAAGCCAATGTGGGCAAAGTATGTTCCATACATGTATAATGTTGAAGGACAGTAGATAAGCCGTAGCTTCCGATACAAACTGGCCGACATTCTTCAGGTATATTTTGTCTCACACAACATGGCAAATGATTGCGACCATCTAAAAATAATCAAGTAAATTTAGAAATGACTACATTTTAGTTAAACAATAATAAACAATAATTACCTGTCAAGCATCTCGTGATAGCTGGCAGATGATCCATGCATTGCCATGGATTCGGGTGATTACCACCTAATATTGAATTTAAACTACAAAATTCTAAACAACTTGCTGGAACTCTGCTGCGTATACAACAATCTGAAATTGAATTGAGTGCAATGGAACATTATTGTAATTAAGTGAATAATGTTAATGTATTGCTCATACTATAATTGTTTTCATTATGCAACTAACTATGCTCCATTTAAAACGGATAATTTGTAAGCAGCTCCAATTTAAAAATCAACCTGAATATGATAAACCGCAATTTTGTTGAAAAATTATTGTTTGAATTGCAAAAATAAAAAAAAAAAGGGCATTTGTCCCCTGGGATTGAGTAAAAAATTCCACAAATTATAATTGTAACAGTGATTGATATATATAACTTTATACACACAACCATGGGACACTTCATCTGTCTAAAGAATACAGTATTGCATCTGTACAAAAACTCTACTTGTGAAAAAACCCAAAGAACTTAATTGCAATAAAATTATTGACATAATTATTTGTCTCCAAGCTTCGCCACCCTGAAAAATTTTGTACGGGCCCATGGTTTTAATATATAGATTTGATTGAAAGGAAGCAATCTACTGTATATACAAGGTATTTAATGAGTGGCATTATTGATAACTTTTGATTAATCTGTAACTGATTTGGATCATTTAGTTACAACTACATACGATGATGAAAGATTAAAAAGAAACCTACCTGTAAAATTATGCTTTGTTAGTGTTTGAGTATTTGATTTGGTTTCAGTTGAAACTAGAATAAAATAATCAAAAATGTAAATTAACTAAATTCAAAATCAATTTATAAAATATTTTATTTTTCTAAGAATATACATTACCAACAAGAATTCTGTTTATTTGTAGCTTTGGAGAAGTATTTACTTCACAAATGTAACGACCGGTGTCATTTTTTCTAACTGGATTAATACTTAATATCCAGGTATCGTCGTCTGAAAATACATATTTTAAAAAATAAGATTGTTTTATACATTTCAAGCATATTTTTTTTTTTTGTAAATGATATTTACCATTTTTATGGTGAAGGGAAAACCTATTATCTGTTACTATTTTCACTAATCCAGCAGTTAAAAGTTGTGATGAATTTGTATCCTTCTGAGTATATCTCCATAATACCTAAAATTTAATAAATGTATGATTTTGTATGAATGGAGGATTCAGTTCTAAGGTGAAAAGTCCAAATTAAAATTTCTATTGTCATCTATATTGAAAAATTACAAACAACTTAAATACTAAAAAATAAACTATTTAAAACGACGGAGTCAGATTAATTTTCCAATCTTACGTAATTGTATTGCAGAAAAATACACAAAAATTCAAATTTTTGTGTATTTTTCTACAATACAATTACGTAAGATTGGAACTTAAATACTATGTTTTGTTTGGAAAGATGTGTTATATGCACTAATAGATAATATGTATTCTTAATGCAGTTATTCTGATTTCTTTTTAGGATAAAATAGCAAGTTATTTAGGAATTATCATCTCTAAAATATTGATAGTTTGGACTTTGTTCCCAACCAAATAGTTGGAAATGATACTATTGAGCTATAATTCAATTTGACAATAAAGATAAATTACAATATGGCAGTACCAATTAACATTATTATGATTCATTTATTAATTAATAAATATAAAAATATCCTATAATTTCTGGTTGTTTGACTGATCACAAGACCACTAATTAATTTGGCTTACTGTATATTATATCCTGCACAAACTATAGCTCAATATTTGTAAATTTTATAAGGAAATTTGGAAGGACATCAGTTATTTTCCTTAAATAAATTACATTTATTCAGTATAATCACCAATTTTTTCCTTTTTCTCAATAAAGGAAAAATTCTTTCTATACGTACTCACTATCCTCAAAGTTTACAGTCTAATATAGTCGATCTGTTTTAAGTCTTATTTACTACTATAGTTAAACCTGATATCAGTTTATTCAGAGTCTATTAATTAATTAATGCAAAGTAAATATGCAGTCCTGCAACTGAGGGAGGATAGACATTTTCATGTTAATGAGTTTAGCTAATACAAATTTCATGAATACATAGTGCCAATTTTTTAAACCCTTTGACTTCAGTACGTGCAAACTCCATTAATACAATCTTTGCTATTGAAGTACTTAATTTATTCTTTAATATTTTAAAATATTAAATTATATATTTTTAACTAGTGCTTTATTCATAAGCAATAAATAAGCATCATGATTACTGATATACTTTTAAGTGATGTTTTTGATGTTAATTTTTTATATAAATGCATTAATTACCAATTACCAAAAAATAAAGTTCTTTACAAAGCAAAAAATTTATGCAGTCTGTAGCTATCAATTATATAACTATTTGAAGCTCTGATGAATAAATGTACACCTGTAACTGAAAAATTGTAAGGTTGTATAATAGATGAAAAGCTCATGATAAATCCATTAAAATTTGTCATGAACTTTTAAGATGTTAAGAAAAAAAAAAGCATTTTTTCTTCTGTCCTTTACAGGATTAAATAATTCAGATGTTAAATAAATGTGTTATTGAACAATTATGTACAGTAATTATATGGCAGAATAAGACAAAATGAATAAATATCCTGTTATTACCTCACAAGATATTAAAAAAATTATCTCACTTTAATAGTAAAGACAAAATTTCTTTGGCTTTGCAGAAGACGGCACTTACTGTTAATATAATGAATGTAGAAATTAGTATATAATACTTTAAACAAATTGAAATAGTCGATCAACATCCGGAACAACACTATAATTGTTGCATTAGTAAAATAATAATAATATGTATTTGTTTAAAATTCAATAATAAATTTTGATGAATTAAAATTATATATAACACACTTTGCTAGTCTGGATTTCTAATAATTTGAACTGGAATCTAGAGAGAACTTGCTTTGATTGAGAAAAAAATACTACAGAGATGCTGTTTATCACATAAAAGCAGTTTTTCTTAAATAATGACATTATTCTATAGATAACATTAATTTTAAATGAAGCCATTATATTTGGAAAATTTTTTGATAATTTGAACATTCTAGACATTAATTAATTTGGATTATTCAGTATATTACTTGTAGTGTATAATACTACATTAGTGTAATATACTGTGTATATTACACTAATGTAATATTCTTAATTTATATATAACCTTAATAATTGAATGAAGTGATTCATCTAAACTATGGAGACAAATATGAAACTGCTTCATTTTTTAATCCATTAGTTTAGAGTATGATTTAATAACTTTGTTTGATACAACAAAATTTTTATTGTAATCCTTATAAATGTTAAAACAACAAGTTTAACAAAATTAATTGCAAACTTAATTACTTTGTCACTTAATATGATACTTCTATAAATAGCCTATAATTTCTGGTTGTTTGACTGATTACAAGATTTAATTTGACTTACTGTATATTATAAAATAACAAATTTGACTTTTAATACAGTCAAATCTTGTTCAATTGGATCAAAAGGGATTGGACCCAATCTGAATTAACAAAAATTAAATAAACCATGTGTAGTGGGGTATTGAAATAGAAGGCTAAAATTCCATACTGAAAATACATTTTAATGGTTGAAAATAAACTTGCATGCTTATAGACAAGTAGACCTCATTGCCATCTATAATTTACATTCACATTATGTGAGTCTTAGTGATTAGCCCTGTGAGAAAGTTTTCGACATGCCGAGGAAGGAATCTACCATATTATGAAAAAGCCACTCGTCTACGAAATACTTGCCGTTGGCCCGCACACTTCTGGTCCATTGTCTGCTTTCGAGTAGCATAACTTGGAAACAAGTTAAGGTCAAATGAAAATTTTTACTGGTCGTGTCATAAGGTGATTTATTTCTTAGTATAAACATATGGCCAATAAATACACCTACGGGTCATATTAATTACATGTGCTACTTATTTCAATATTCAAAACATTAAAAATATGATATAAATTATTTAACCTTGAATAAGAATGACTGAGGAATTGGTTGATTGTAATCATCACAAATGCAATTAATTTTGTTAAACTTGTTGTTTTAACAAAATTAATTGTCTTGTTGTTTTATAAAACTATCATATTAAGTAACAAATTTGATTTTTAGTGTAAACTGTACCAGTACAATGTACACTAACTCATTGCTGGTTACAAATAATTAGTGTATACTGTACTGGTATTAATCTGGTGTCCCACTTTTGCAACCAAGAAGTCTGGTCATCTTATGCTATTACTAAATTTCTGCTGATTAATAGTCAATATATTATCCTACTTTTTATAAATTATTTTCACAACTGTCCTTAAATGTTGATAATTTTTCATTCAATAAATGTAGTTATAAGAATTAGCATTATCATTTGCTATGCCATGTAATTGAATAGTAAAATATAATTTGAACCAACCATTATAGGATGATTCACAGTTTGGGAATTAAGAAAAACAAATATTAAAAACAAACTTTTAGGTTAATTTCTTTCATTTTATATATAGATAGCTCCTTAATTTGCAAATAAATACTATTGGAATTAGAAAATTATATTTACACTTATAATAAAGTCGAAGTCTGTTATTTCCAAGTAACTGTTGTCTGCTTTGAATATATGATTTTATCAATGCTTCTTTGAGCACTTCTAAAAACAACCTTCTTTTATCCAAGTGAGGACTTGAGTATAGTTAATCGACCTACCTATAATGCTTGCATTATAGGTAAATATATCAATCATATTTGATAAAATAATTGTGTATCTAATCAATATCAGAAGTATGCTATAATTCTTCAAGTATGGTATCATTTAAACCTGTGATGATATTTTTATATTCTAGATAAAGGAAAGACTGTTCCAAATTGTAAAAATGAAACTACAAAAAATGTTCACTCCACAGTAAAAGAAAAAATACACGTACAGTAATACCCCAAACTTACGCAATAGGTGGGACTGAGCGATAACCGCGTAAGTCGAATTTGCATATGTCGGGATATAATTTCACAATTTGTGTAAAATCCAAGTGGGATGTGTGTAAGCTAATAAATGTTCTCGTTAATCTTATCTCGTCTTTCGATTCGTTCACGGTTACAAGAAATCACCACATAGAGTCTCTCAAGTCTCCGTAGATATAACAAACACAGAAATAAATAACACAAAATACATTGTAGCTGTGTCGATTCTGTGCTACACGTCCAAACATGTAAGCTGAACAATAGTGTGGGGGAGTGAGTAATCAAAAGTTGCATGGCGCTCAAACAAAAGACGAATCGACGAGATTTAAAATCGCGTAAGTCAGGGTAGCGTAAGTCGAGGTATTACTGTATCTAGGTGCATCTAGCAAGTGCTAAACTATACACTAACAAAACAAACAATTTCTGCAAAGATAAAACAAGTTACAATGTGTTAAAGCAGTTGAAGTGAAGTAAAATATTCATGGATCATTTTGGATTCAAACAGCCCTTAAGGAATTTTTCTATTTTGATGATGTGTTTCATTTTATAAAGATTTGAAATCAAGATATGTAAAGTTTATTACTATAAACAAAAAGTCAAGATGTGGCAAGTATATAGCATAAAAATTTCATATTCGTTTGGACAGAAACTGTTTTCATCATAAAGTTTTCAAATGTGTTTGATACAAACAAAATACAAATATACAGTAAAATATGGTACAATGGATAAATCTGACCATGTCTCTTCATAAAATATTATAAATCTTAACAGATGTTTATACTGTATTTTCAAAACTTTATAATTCAACCACTATTTGAAATAGTATTTTATTTTCGAGTATAAAATTAAACAACTTTACTTTAAATATTCTGCCTTTTTCCTGTAGCCTTCACTTATTCAACATTTTAATAATAAATACTTTTATATAATAAGATATTCGGCATTTAAGAAACTTATAAATGAAACTTACTGTATAATTACCAATATTTCTTACTACGCAATCTAATAATGCCTCTTCTCCTTCATTAACTACAATGGTATCTAAAGGAGTATCATTTAAAATCGCAGCACCTAATGTACAGAATATACATAAAAATTTACTTTAATACAAATATAGAAAAGTTCAATTAAATTTTTTTTTTGTAATAAATTTAAAAATAACTTACCGTGGCATAAATATGTACAAATAATTGTTAATATGATATGCAATTTTGCTAAAATTAATACATTTTTAAACATCTTGTTGTCCTGCAAAAATTTTCTTGCAGTTTATGTAATATAATCTGAAATGATAAGAGTTTTTAAATATTTAATAAATAATTACATTGTATTTAGTTAATTAAAAGAAAAAAATTCAGATTTATTTAACTAAAAATAGTATTGTGGATGCCCATATTGTCAAACAATAAGACATCTTTATAAATAGGAAATTTCAATTATAAAACATTTTTAAAGATTTCCTTAGCTTCCGTAATATGTAATTAAAATTTACAATTTAGCATAATTAAATATTGATTTTTAGTCTCACAGATTGAGACAAAAATGAAAAATTTTAACTAAACTTGAGCTAACTGATAACATGGCAATTAAGCTTACGTTTATATAGATGTTCCTCGATTTACAGCCAACTTCCGTTAGCTTTATTGTTACAATTTCAAATAATACTCTCCATTTTAAAGAACAAAGAATGAATTCAAGAGAACCATTTGATAAGTATCAATTATATATATATATATTGTATTATGATGAATAATAAAAGTGGGTGGTTTATATATATATATATATATATATAGTGCAAGTATTTTTGACTTGCAATAATCTCAAATTACAATCCGGATGTCAGAACAAAACCACTGTGCACTAGAGTGTGATACATATATTGTTTTAAAGTAAGTTAGATGAACCTGAATAAACTTAGAGTATTGTTTGAATATTCACTAAGAAATGGAATTGTCAAGAGCTTATATGTCATTTTTTTTGAAGAAATGAAATATATAAAATGTTGGTTTGTTTCTTTTAATAAAAAGCAGATTTTCTGTCTTAAAGATTTTGTTTATGTTAGTAAAAGTAACTAGTTTAGAGGCCCATAGCGGTTCCTACTCCTTTAACTTTTCTCCAGGCCTGGAGAAAAATCCTTAGATTCCCTCTTGATGACCCTGCTACGAAATATAACAGTATTCATTAATCAAGCGATTGTATGGTGCCCGAGAATAGAGTGGTCCTCTTTTTTTTTCTTTCTTTTTTGAGCAAATGAAATACATATAATGTTTACTTTATTTTTTTTTATTAATAGTCTTAAGGATTTTATTTTCTGTTATTTTTCCTAATATTAATTTTATACGGGGTAGGAACCACTACAAGCCAGAGAAAAATCCTCAGCTTCCCCCCTCTCAACAGTCCTGATCATTATAGAAAATATTAAAATATATATATATATATATTCTACTAAATTTAATTTTAAGTATTTTAAATTAGATAGGAATAATATACAACATTTATGATAATTTTTTTTTAAACTTTTAATGAAATATAAATCAATTTAAACTTAAAAGAGATTAGCATTAAAAATTTAAGTTCAAATTATATGATGTATATTTAAAAAGTTTTCTGGAAACTAAGGGTAGAACATGATAAAATAAGTGACCTAGAAAACAATTAAATTTATATATTTCTTATGATAGCCACACCTTTGGGCAGTCAAGGACAACTAACTTCATTAATAAGCAACAGTCTGACACAAATTCAGTAACAGCTGTATTTGAGAATTTGTATATGGATTATTTCCCACCGTAAAGTTTTAAATTTATTTTTAAATCAGCAATTTGCATTTATTTAAAGAAACTCAAGCTCTTGTTTAATGCGCTATTCTGTTTGTACACTGTAAGAACATCAAAATAAATTTATTTGTTGGAATATCTGAGTTGTATTTTCTAAATAGAAATTGTTTTGATTTAAAAAAAGTAAAATGTAAGCTATAATTATTATTACAATTGATAGATATGCAGTGTAATGATGATAATTCATTTTAAATTATTAGAAAAACAATTACGAAACTTTTAAATATTAATTACATAAAAATTAGAATCGATTCTTGTCTAAGCATGCAATTTTTAATAATTAATCGTTAAGAAAGAAAGAAAGAATTCTGTAGAAATGAAACCCGAACGTGTACGTAATCTCTACTTATTCATCAGTTTATTAAAAAATATTGCGAGACAATTAAACTTCACAATAAACTTTAATTGGGACCCCATCGGACTGTGGCCCAGTTTAGCGTTATCTGATTTCGGAGAATTTTTTAATTTTCTAGTCGAAGGTTCGCATTTATTCTCTTCTGGTTTAATTGAATAATATAAATAAAGATTTAATGTACTGTTTAGAATGTAAAGACTTCATTTTTTTTTTTTATATGTCAGCTTTCATAATGCCAAGATACTGATTGTAATGTGGTATGTAAGAAACATTTACTTTACTGATAAATAATTTATGGCAAGTTAGTTAAAGTTTCAGATTTTTAAATGAAGATTAAAGATAATATTAAAAATTTAATTAACTAGCAGCAATATGCTATAGATTTTAGCTTTAATTATCATCACTTATTATTAAATTATCCAAATACTTTATTATTATTATTACTCTTTCATTAGTTAAGATTAACAATTGTAATGATTTAAATTACAATAGTGTTAGACAGTTAATATATTAAATTATTAATGCGAGCCCATTGATAATGGTTGAGCAATATTAAACAAGGTATAATTTTACTTACGAATATGATTTTTAATATTAGATTTATGCAAGATTTGCACGTGGGAAAATTACGCCAAGTTTCGAAACATTTCACGTAGAGTTTTGTTACCAGTTTGATAATTGCAGGATCCAATGGTTACAAAAAGTCTAGCTTAGGACAGACAGGATATTCAACAGGATGCTCAAATAATTATTTGGCTTTATTCTTTTGATGCGTTGACATTAAATAGTCATGTTCTAAAAAGGTTTTTTTTCTTTTTTTATTTAAAGCAAGATTTAGAAATTGAAAAACTGTAGAGAAATTTATAATCTGTAATTCTATTTTTGCAATTTTTGTTTTCAAATTTCTTACAACATATATTGCATAACAGGAGACAATTGTTTTCATGGTGGAGAAGTTTAAAAAGAATTTATGATTGTATTTTTTTTCTTTCAATTATTACATAGAAAAGCCAAAGGAGGAAATAATATAAATATTTAAACAGATAATAAAATACAGTATATAGAAAGTGATGCAATATAAATGTATGTTCTAGTGAAACCTTTTTTTTTTTATTAATTTATAATTTATTATAGACTCTAAACAAAAATATATCTCAAATGTAGTAACTGTAATGTTATTTTTGCAAATATTTGAACTGTTTATATAATATTCTATCATCAAAACTGAAGAATGTAACTGATAGGTCTAATGAAATTATTAATTGTGCTGTAATATATTAAATTCACAGAGATAAGAGTGTGGTCAGTTGTGCATTATAACCTCATAGGACCCATACAAATTTGAATTAGGAGGACCCACTTACAGTGTTGAGTTCAGACATTTTTCTTATAAAAAAGATTGGCTTGGAGCCCTTTTTGCCCATAGAATAACGTGCCACTGGAGTGGGTGTAATTTAAAAATCTGTGAAAGTAAGCACCACCAAGGATCACGTCAATTTTGCGTGTTGGTAATGCATGGTAAAACATAAATGATACTTTAAAAGGGCGTTTGTTTATTTGCATTTTCGACTAAAATATTCTATTATGTACAACACGAGTCCAACTGGATAAAAATACATTAATAATTAATCATTAATTAATGGTTAATTAAATCTAATTTTCCTTCTTTTATTGGTAGAAAATAATAATTGCATAAAACACGTAGGTAAAATACTTTTATCTTAAATTATATATAGTCTTAATGGGAATATATATTTTAAAGAAATATTCCCCCAGGGAATTTCCCGTAATTTTCAAAAAAAAAAAAAATACTAAAACGAATACAATGCCAAATGAAGAATTTTCCTATAATAAAATTCAGTATTTAACTGTCCACGAGATGCTCATTCTACCGTGTTTGGATGAAGAACTTAAAAATATTAAAGAAAATAAAAAAAAAAGTTCAAGTTATTATGCTTGACTTGACCTCTAAAGAACAATCGAATAGTATATGTATAGGCCTATATATTTATTTTTTAATGCATCATTTTAATTACTTAAATTCGCACAACTCAGTTAAGTTTCCCCACAACTAATGACTTTTTAAGGGAACCGTACCAGTTTAATTATTATATTACAAATATAATAATTAAGCGGGTACGGTTCCCAAATTAATAACGGTTATTAATACGATCTAATAATAGCCCGGGCTATTTGAATATTCATTATATTCATTACAGCTGACGAACGGAATTCGCTTGTTACGCGTATTCCTATCTGTACCATCTCTCTACGTGGTACAGATAAGAGTTTTATCATTGAAAAGCAGCCAAAAATATCACTAATTTCAAAACTCGTCTACGATTATTCCTAGGGGCACGACGAATAAATGAGTTTTTCACGCCAATAATGCCGTTACGTCACCAACACGTAGAATATTTTCAAATACAGAGAACGTCGGTTTGTCCGTTCTAAAACGCGTCAACGTCTGTACTGTTTTTCATGGAAACGCCACAAAAGAAATTCTGATAACTTTATTAGCGCTTCTATGAAAAATATATAAAGATATATACATAAAAAATAATAATAATAATAAAATAACTTACTTTTGTAGTGTACTGTACGGGTTAAACGGTGATAGAAATCCGATTTTCTTTATAGTAATTAACAGAGCAGTACTTCATGTTGTACAGATACCAAATACACAACTTAGCAAAACTTCCAGATTGTATAAACACCCGTTAATCTAACACTATACGTTGTACAGCATTTGTCGACCGGTCATTGCAGTCGTTCGCTGACCTGTTTTTCTTTTTTTTTTTATTTTACTTGATTTTTTTCCTAGACAGCAACTTGTCCTACATACCAGTTTCCTGGTATCAAGACGGCACGCCACGCTAACCTTAGATTCACACTAATTAAGTCGTAGATGTATAAAGCGGTAAAATAACTTACCTGGCATTAGTCGTACGAATAAACTACGCACCGGCGTTGGGAGATTACAATATAAACTTGTATACGGCACGTTAATATTGTGACGTTTCCATGCTATGTACGGGGATAAGCGAAACAGGTCGGCCTTGACGTGGACTGCTTTTGTTTTATGCGCAATCGATACTGAGGTGTTAGAATCTACAGTTTTTTCCCCTTCCCTCCCCTCGAAGGAACCGTTTATTTCCCTATTTGCATTAATATTAGCGGGTTAGAGTGTGTTAGTTACGTTTTAAATATGTTTGCGAGAGATTATGTTGTAAATTTCGGGTGTTTTTCACCTATCAAATACCTCTGGCAGTGTGTAGTTTCATTGTGATTAAATATTTTTTGTGTGTATAATAGATAGACGAATAAAAAAGAAGATTAAGGTAATTAATTAATTAATTAATGTTAGTGTTGTTGCTTACAGGAAAACATAGTATAGGAAATGTAATTAAAGTTTAATACGGTGTTCGAACGAGAAGGAAGCTCAATTACTTTATACAAACATGGAATTAAAGCGAATTGTCCAAATAAACTAGTGATGCACGGCTCATTAACTACCGTATGTTTCTTTAAAAATCAAGACCAGGATGTAGTGAAATATGTCTAATGTGATTACAATGTCGTATATTTGGTGGATAATTATCTGACCCGGTTATAGTTCTGTTCCTGTGAGTATGTCGGAGGAATTTCGTGTCTATTTAGAACGAAAAAAGATAGAAAAAAAAAAAGATTTTTCCAACCTGATATAGGTATTAATATACATTAAGTTAGGAGGAAAATTTCGAATTTTTAAAATTATCGTCGGAATGAAAGAATATGGATGTAGTTTAAAGGTTGAAAATCACGTTAAGTGCGGTCATATATTAAAAAGTTCAGAAGTCAGGAATGAGAAGTAGTAATTAAGGCCGAGTTTAACGGCAGAAAAAGAAGTCACAGAAAAGTATCGAGATGGAAAGAGAAGCGAGTGAGTAGCAAGCATGAAGTGGATAAAAAATAAAATTTTATAGTCGTTGTGAGATTGGTAATCTGCAAGGTTAGTTAAAGATGTAATGCTTATCTATTAAATCACGAAAATCAACTTCTCGCGTGGCTTCTTACCTCAAAAATTCTCTTACAAACTGTTAACCGGTGGCAAGTTCAATAACCTTGTTCGAAAGTATATAATTTTGGAAATAGGCTTGCAAAAAAATAATAAAAGAATTGCACACTTTAGAAACTTCAGTATCTTTTTATCTGAAAGAAAATTGAAAGAAAAAAAAATTTATATACAAGAAAATTAAATTAAAAGGCTATTATGCCTGAATGATTTTATGCAATATCTTAAGCAAGGCTTTTACTGTTAGTGTTGATTTTGAAGTGGAGCGGTAAACAAACTCGCATTGAACAATAGCAATTTTTAGGTCAAGTTGAGAATATGAACGAATTTGTATTTGTTATTTGATGGTCACTTCAAATAGACAAGTTAAATTTAAACGAAGATAATTTAACTATACTGTACTCTAGTTAACTTTAAAGTTATTCAATTCACCTATGTTTTATATTAATTCCATAAACTTTTAATGAAGTTTTATATCCTTGCTGAAATTATGGTATTTCACAATCCTGAGGTAGAAATTATATCTAAATTTCCTTGATGGTTACTAAGAATTGTAAATTATGCTATATATTAAAATTTGTAATTGTTATATCCAATTTTATGCTATTATTTTAACGTGTATTTATCGTTTCTTGGCTAGTTAAAAGAAAAGCAACATGTAAGCCAAGGGATAAAGTTTATTTTAAATTACTATAATTCATCTTATTTAATTTCTTATAATGCTAAATCAAATGGAAATTCGATTGTCTTTCTCAACAAAATTGAAAAAAAAAAAATAATAATAATAAATCCTCTCTTTGCAGNTTATATATAACACACTTTGCTAGTCTGGATTTCTAATAATTTGAACTGGAATCTAGAGAGAACTTGCTTTGATTGAGAAAAAAATACTACAGAGATGCTGTTTATCACATAAAAGCAGTTTTTCTTAAATAATGACATTATTCTATAGATAACATTAATTTTAAATGAAGCCATTATATTTGGAAAATTTTTTGATAATTTGAACATTCTAGACATTAATTAATTTGGATTATTCAGTATATTACTTGTAGTGTATAATACTACATTAGTGTAATATACTGTGTATATTACACTAATGTAATATTCTTAATTTATATATAACCTTAATAATTGAATGAAGTGATTCATCTAAACTATGGAGACAAATATGAAACTGTTTCATTTTTTAATCCATTAGTTTAGAGTATGATTTAATAACTTTGTTTGATACAACAAAATTTTTATTGTAATCCTTATAAATGTTAAAACAACAAGTTTAACAAAATTAATTGCAAACTTAATTACTTTGTCACTTAATATGATACTTCTATAAATAGCCTATAATTTCTGGTTGTTTGACTGATTACAAGATTTAATTTGACTTACTGTATATTATAAAATAACAAATTTGACTTTTAATACAGTCAAATCTTGTTCAATTGGATCAAAAGGGATTGGACCCAATCTGAATTAACAAAAATTAAATAAACCATGTGTAGTGGGGTATTGAAATAGAAGGCTAAAATTCCATACTGAAAATACATTTTAATGGTTGAAAATAAACTTGCATGCTTATAGACAAGTAGACCTCATTGCCATCTATAATTTACATTCACATTATGTGAGTCTTAGTGATTAGCCCTGTGAGAAAGTTTTCGACATGCCGAGGAAGGAATCTACCATATTATGAAAAAGCCACTCGTCTACGAAATACTTGCCGTTGGCCCGCACACTTCTGGTCCATTGTCTGCTTTCGAGTAGCATAACTTGGAAACAAGTTAAGGTCAAATGAAAATTTTTACTGGTCGTGTCATAAGGTGATTTATTTCTTAGTATAAACATATGGCCAATAAATACACCTACGGGTCATATTAATTACATGTGCTACTTATTTCAATATTCAAAACATTAAAAATATGATATAAATTATTTAACCTTGAATAAGAATGACTGAGGAATTGGTTGATTGTAATCATCACAAATGCAATTAATTTTGTTAAACTTGTTGTTTTAACAAAATTAATTGTCTTGTTGTTTTATAAAACTATCATATTAAGTAACAAATTTGATTTTTAGTGTAAACTGTACCAGTACAATGTACACTAACTCATTGCTGGTTACAAATAATTAGTGTATACTGTACTGGTATTAATCTGGTGTCCCACTTTTGCAACCAAGAAGTCTGGTCATCTTATGCTATTACTAAATTTCTGCTGATTAATAGTCAATATATTATCCTACTTTTTATAAATTATTTTCACAACTGTCCTTAAATGTTGATAATTTTTCATTCAATAAATGTAGTTATAAGAATTAGCATTATCATTTGCTATGCCATGTAATTGAATAGTAAAATATAATTTGAACCAACCATTATAGGATGATTCACAGTTTGGGAATTAAGAAAAACAAATATTAAAAACAAACTTTTAGGTTAATTTCTTTCATTTTATATATAGATAGCTCCTTAATTTGCAAATAAATACTATTGGAATTAGAAAATTATATTTACACTTATAATAAAGTCGAAGTCTGTTATTTCCAAGTAACTGTTGTCTGCTTTGAATATATGATTTTATCAATGCTTCTTTGAGCACTTCTAAAAACAACCTTCTTTTATCCAAGTGAGGACTTGAGTATAGTTAATCGACCTACCTATAATGCTTGCATTATAGGTAAATATATCAATCATATTTGATAAAATAATTGTGTATCTAATCAATATCAGAAGTATGCTATAATTCTTCAAGTATGGTATCATTTAAACCTGTGATGATATTTTTATATTCTAGATAAAGGAAAGACTGTTCCAAATTGTAAAAATGAAACTACAAAAAATGTTCACTCCACAGTAAAAGAAAAAATACACGTACAGTAATACCCCAAACTTACGCAATAGGTGGGACTGAGCGATAACCGCGTAAGTCGAATTTGCATATGTCGGGATATAATTTCACAATTTGTGTAAAATCCAAGTGGGATGTGTGTAAGCTAATAAATGTTCTCGTTAATCTTATCTCGTCTTTCGATTCGTTCACGGTTACAAGAAATCACCACATAGAGTCTCTCAAGTCTCCGTAGATATAACAAACACAGAAATAAATAACACAAAATAAATTGTAGCTGTGTCGATTCTGTGCTACACGTCCAAACATGTAAGCTGAACAATAGTGTGGGGGAGTGAGTAATCAAAAGTTGCATGGCGCTCAAACAAAAGACGAATCGACGAGATTTAAAATCGCGTAAGTCAGGGTAGCGTAAGTCGAGGTATTACTGTATCTAGGTGCATCTAGCAAGTGCTAAACTATACACTAACAAAACAAACAATTTCTGCAAAGATAAAACAAGTTACAATGTGTTAAAGCAGTTGAAGTGAAGTAAAATATTCATGGATCATTTTGGATTCAAACAGCCCTTAAGGAATTTTTCTATTTTGATGATGTGTTTCATTTTATAAAGATTTGAAATCAAGATATGTAAAGTTTATTACTATAAACAAAAAGTCAAGATGTGGCAAGTATATAGCATAAAAATTTCATATTCGTTTGGACAGAAACTGTTTTCATCATAAAGTTTTCAAATGTGTTTGATACAAACAAAATACAAATATACAGTAAAATATGGTACAATGGATAAATCTGACCATGTCTCTTCATAAAATATTATAAATCTTAACAGATGTTTATACTGTATTTTCAAAACTTTATAATTCAACCACTATTTGAAATAGTATTTTATTTTCGAGTATAAAATTAAACAACTTTACTTTAAATATTCTGCCTTTTTCCTGTAGCCTTCACTTATTCAACATTTTAATAATAAATACTTTTATATAATAAGATATTCGGCATTTAAGAAACTTATAAATGAAACTTACTGTATAATTACCAATATTTCTTACTACGCAATCTAATAATGCCTCTTCTCCTTCATTAACTACAATGGTATCTAAAGGAGTATCATTTAAAATCGCAGCACCTAATGTACAGAATATACATAAAAATTTACTTTAATACAAATATAGAAAAGTTCAATTAAATTTTTTTTTTGTAATAAATTTAAAAATAACTTACCGTGGCATAAATATGTACAAATAATTGTTAATATGATATGCAATTTTGCTAAAATTAATACATTTTTAAACATCTTGTTGTCCTGCAAAAATTTTCTTGCAGTTTATGTAATATAATCTGAAATGATAAGAGTTTTTAAATATTTAATAAATAATTACATTGTATTTAGTTAATTAAAAGAAAAAAATTCAGATTTATTTAACTAAAAATAGTATTGTGGATGCCCATATTGTCAAACAATAAGACATCTTTATAAATAGGAAATTTCAATTATAAAACATTTTTAAAGATTTCCTTAGCTTCCGTAATATGTAATTAAAATTTACAATTTAGCATAATTAAATATTGATTTTTAGTCTCACAGATTGAGACAAAAATGAAAAATTTTAACTAAACTTGAGCTAACTGATAACATGGCAATTAAGCTTACGTTTATATAGATGTTCCTCGATTTACAGCCAACTTCCGTTAGCTTTATTGTTACAATTTCAAATAATACTCTCCATTTTAAAGAACAAAGAATGAATTCAAGAGAACCATTTGATAAGTATCAATTATATATATATATATTGTATTATGATGAATAATAAAAGTGGGTGGTTTATATATATATATATATATATATAGTGCAAGTATTTTTGACTTGCAATAATCTCAAATTACAATCCGGATGTCAGAACAAAACCACTGTGCACTAGAGTGTGATACATATATTGTTTTAAAGTAAGTTAGATGAACCTGAATAAACTTAGAGTATTGTTTGAATATTCACTAAGAAATGGAATTGTCAAGAGCTTATATGTCATTTTTTTTGAAGAAATGAAATATATAAAATGTTGGTTTGTTTCTTTTAATAAAAAGCAGATTTTACTGTCTTAAAGATTTTGTTTATGTTAGTAAAAAATAACTAGTTTAGAGGCTCATAGTGGTTCCTACTCCTTTAACTTTTCTCTAGGCCTGGAGAAAAATCCTTAGATTCCCTCTTGATGACCCTGCTACGAAATATAACAGTATTCATTAATCAAGCGATTGTATGGTGCCCGAGAATAGAGTGGTCCTCTTTTTTTTTCTTTCTTTTTTGAGCAAATGAAATACATATAATGTTTACTTTATTTTTTTTTATTAATAGTCTTAAGGATTTTATTTTCTGTTATTTTTCCTAATATTAATTTTATACGGGGTAGGAACCACTACAAGCCAGAGAAAAATCCTCAGCTTCCCCCCTCTCAACAGTCCTGATCATTATAGAAAATATTAAAATATATATATATATATTCTACTAAATTTAATTTTAAGTATTTTAAATTAGATAGGAATAATATACAACATTTATGATAATTTTTTTTTAAACTTTTAATGAAATATAAATCAATTTAAACTTAAAAGAGATTAGCATTAAAAATTTAAGTTCAAATTATATGATGTATATTTAAAAAGTTTTCTGGAAACTAAGGGTAGAACATGATAAAATAAGTGACCTAGAAAACAATTAAATTTATATATTTCTTATGATAGCCACACCTTTGGGCAGTCAAGGACAACTAACTTCATTAATAAGCAACAGTCTGACACAAATTCAGTAACAGCTGTATTTGAGAATTTGTATATGGATTATTTCCCACCGTAAAGTTTTAAATTTATTTTTAAATCAGCAATTTGCATTTATTTAAAGAAACTCAAGCTCTTGTTTAATGCGCTATTCTGTTTGTACACTGTAAGAACATCAAAATAAATTTATTTGTTGGAATATCTGAGTTGTATTTTCTAAATAGAAATTGTTTTGATTTAAAAAAAGTAAAATGTAAGCTATAATTATTATTACAATTGATAGATATGCAGTGTAATGATGATAATTCATTTTAAATTATTAGAAAAACAATTACGAAACTTTTAAATATTAATTACATAAAAATTAGAATCGATTCTTGTCTAAGCATGCAATTTTTAATAATTAATCGTTAAGAAAGAAAGAAAGAATTCTGTAGAAATGAAACCCGAACGTGTACGTAATCTCTACTTATTCATCAGTTTATTAAAAAATATTGCGAGACAATTAAACTTCACAATAAACTTTAATTGGGACCCCATCGGACTGTGGCCCAGTTTAGCGTTATCTGATTTCGGAGAATTTTTTAATTTTCTAGTCGAAGGTTCGCATTTATTCTCTTCTGGTTTAATTGAATAATATAAATAAAGATTTAATGTACTGTTTAGAATGTAAAGACTTCATTTTTTTTTTTTATATGTCAGCTTTCATAATGCCAAGATACTGATTGTAATGTGGTATGTAAGAAACATTTACTTTACTGATAAATAATTTATGGCAAGTTAGTTAAAGTTTCAGATTTTTAAATGAAGATTAAAGATAATATTAAAAATTTAATTAACTAGCAGCAATATGCTATAGATTTTAGCTTTAATTATCATCACTTATTATTAAATTATCCAAATACTTTATTATTATTATTACTCTTTCATTAGTTAAGATTAACAATTGTAATGATTTAAATTACAATAGTGTTAGACAGTTAATATATTAAATTATTAATGCGAGCCCATTGATAATGGTTGAGCAATATTAAACAAGGTATAATTTTACTTACGAATATGATTTTTAATATTAGATTTATGCAAGATTTGCACGTGGGAAAATTACGCCAAGTTTCGAAACATTTCACGTAGAGTTTTGTTACCAGTTTGATAATTGCAGGATCCAATGGTTACAAAAAGTCTAGCTTAGGACAGACAGGATATTCAACAGGATGCTCAAATAATTATTTGGCTTTATTCTTTTGATGCGTTGACATTAAATAGTCATGTTCTAAAAAGGTTTTTTTTCTTTTTTTATTTAAAGCAAGATTTAGAAATTGAAAAACTGTAGAGAAATTTATAATCTGTAATTCTATTTTTGCAATTTTTGTTTTCAAATTTCTTACAACATATATTGCATAACAGGAGACAATTGTTTTCATGGTGGAGAAGTTTAAAAAGAATTTATGATTGTATTTTTTTTCTTTCAATTATTACATAGAAAAGCCAAAGGAGGAAATAATATAAATATTTAAACAGATAATAAAATACAGTATATAGAAAGTGATGCAATATAAATGTATGTTCTAGTGAAACCTTTTTTTTTTTATTAATTTATAATTTATTATAGACTCTAAACAAAAATATATCTCAAATGTAGTAACTGTAATGTTATTTTTGCAAATATTTGAACTGTTTATATAATATTCTATCATCAAAACTGAAGAATGTAACTGATAGGTCTAATGAAATTATTAATTGTGCTGTAATATATTAAATTCACAGAGATAAGAGTGTGGTCAGTTGTGCATTATAACCTCATAGGACCCATACAAATTTGAATTAGGAGGACCCACTTACAGTGTTGAGTTCAGACATTTTTCTTATAAAAAAGATTGGCTTGGAGCCCTTTTTGCCCATAGAATAACGTGCCACTGGAGTGGGTGTAATTTAAAAATCTGTGAAAGTAAGCACCACCAAGGATCACGTCAATTTTGCGTGTTGGTAATGCATGGTAAAACATAAATGATACTTTAAAAGGGCGTTTGTTTATTTGCATTTTCGACTAAAATATTCTATTATGTACAACACGAGTCCAACTGGATAAAAATACATTAATAATTAATCATTAATTAATGGTTAATTAAATCTAATTTTCCTTCTTTTATTGGTAGAAAATAATAATTGCATAAAACACGTAGGTAAAATACTTTTATCTTAAATTATATATAGTCTTAATGGGAATATATATTTTAAAGAAATATTCCCCCAGGGAATTTCCCGTAATTTTCAAAAAAAAAAAAATACTAAAACGAATACAATGCCAAATGAAGAATTTTCCTATAATAAAATTCAGTATTTAACTGTCCACGAGATGCTCATTCTACCGTGTTTGGATGAAGAACTTAAAAATATTAAAGAAAATAAAAAAAAAAGTTCAAGTTATTATGCTTGACTTGACCTCTAAAGAACAATCGAATAGTATATGTATAGGCCTATATATTTATTTTTTAATGCATCATTTTAATTACTTAAATTCGCACAACTCAGTTAAGTTTCCCCACAACTAATGACTTTTTAAGGGAACCGTACCAGTTTAATTATTATATTACAAATATAATAATTAAGCGGGTACGGTTCCCAAATTAATAACGGTTATTAATACGATCTAATAATAGCCCGGGCTATTTGAATATTCATTATATTCATTACAGCTGACGAACGGAATTCGCTTGTTACGCGTATTCCTATCTGTACCATCTCTCTACGTGGTACAGATAAGAGTTTTATCATTGAAAAGCAGCCAAAAATATCACTAATTTCAAAACTCGTCTACGATTATTCCTAGGGGCACGACGAATAAATGAGTTTTTCACGCCAATAATGCCGTTACGTCACCAACACGTAGAATATTTTCAAATACAGAGAACGTCGGTTTGTCCGTTCTAAAACGCGTCAACGTCTGTACTGTTTTTCATGGAAACGCCACAAAAGAAATTCTGATAACTTTATTAGCGCTTCTATGAAAAATATATAAAGATATATACATAAAAAATAATAATAATAATAAAATAACTTACTTTTGTAGTGTACTGTACGGGTTAAACGGTGATAGAAATCCGATTTTCTTTATAGTAATTAACAGAGCAGTACTTCATGTTGTACAGATACCAAATACACAACTTAGCAAAACTTCCAGATTGTATAAACACCCGTTAATCTAACACTATACGTTGTACAGCATTTGTCGACCGGTCATTGCAGTCGTTCGCTGACCTGTTTTTCTTTTTTTTTTATTTTACTTGATTTTTTTCCTAGACAGCAACTTGTCCTACATACCAGTTTCCTGGTATCAAGACGGCACGCCACGCTAACCTTAGATTCACACTAATTAAGTCGTAGATGTATAAAGCGGTAAAATAACTTACCTGGCATTAGTCGTACGAATAAACTACGCACCGGCGTTGGGAGATTACAATATAAACTTGTATACGGCACGTTAATATTGTGACGTTTCCATGCTATGTACGGGGATAAGCGAAACAGGTCGGCCTTGACGTGGACTGCTTTTGTTTTATGCGCAATCGATACTGAGGTGTTAGAATCTACAGTTTTTTCCCCTTCCCTCCCCTCGAAGGAACCGTTTATTTCCCTATTTGCATTAATATTAGCGGGTTAGAGTGTGTTAGTTACGTTTTAAATATGTTTGCGAGAGATTATGTTGTAAATTTCGGGTGTTTTTCACCTATCAAATACCTCTGGCAGTGTGTAGTTTCATTGTGATTAAATATTTTTTGTGTGTATAATAGATAGACGAATAAAAAAGAAGATTAAGGTAATTAATTAATTAATTAATGTTAGTGTTGTTGCTTACAGGAAAACATAGTATAGGAAATGTAATTAAAGTTTAATACGGTGTTCGAACGAGAAGGAAGCTCAATTACTTTATACAAACATGGAATTAAAGCAAATTGTCCAAATAAACTAGTGATGCACGGCTCATTAACTACCGTATGTTTCTTTAAAAATCAAGACCAGGATGTAGTGAAATATGTCTAATGTGATTACAATGTCGTATATTTGGTGGATAATTATCTGACCCGGTTATAGTTCTGTTCCTGTGAGTATGTCGGAGGAATTTCGTGTCTATTTAGAACGAAAAAAGATAGAAAAAAAAAAGATTTTTCCAACCTGATATAGGTATTAATATACATTAAGTTAGGAGGAAAATTTCGAATTTTTAAAATTATCGTCGGAATGAAAGAATATGGATGTAGTTTAAAGGTTGAAAATCACGTTAAGTGCGGTCATATATTAAAAAGTTCAGAAGTCAGGAATGAGAAGTAGTAATTAAGGCCGAGTTTAACGGCAGAAAAAGAAGTCACAGAAAAGTATCGAGATGGAAAGAGAAGCGAGTGAGTAGCAAGCATGAAGTGGATAAAAAATAAAATTTTATAGTCGTTGTGAGATTGGTAATCTGCAAGGTTAGTTAAAGATGTAATGCTTATCTATTAAATCACGAAAATCAACTTCTCGCGTGGCTTCTTACCTCAAAAATTCTCTTACAAACTGTTAACCGGTGGCAAGTTCAATAACCTTGTTCGAAAGTATATAATTTTGGAAATAGGCTTGCAAAAAAATAATAAAAGAATTGCACACTTTAGAAACTTCAGTATCTTTTTATCTGAAAGAAAATTGAAAGAAAAAAAAATTTATATACAAGAAAATTAAATTAAAAGGCTATTATGCCTGAATGATTTTATGCAATATCTTAAGCAAGGCTTTTACTGTTAGTGTTGATTTTGAAGTGGAGCGGTAAACAAACTCGCATTGAACAATAGCAATTTTTAGGTCAAGTTGAGAATATGAACGAATTTGTATTTGTTATTTGATGGTCACTTCAAATAGACAAGTTAAATTTAAACGAAGATAATTTAACTATACTGTACTCTAGTTAACTTTAAAGTTATTCAATTCACCTATGTTTTATATTAATTCCATAAACTTTTAATGAAGTTTTATATCCTTGCTGAAATTATGGTATTTCACAATCCTGAGGTAGAAATTATATCTAAATTTCCTTGATGGTTACTAAGAATTGTAAATTATGCTATATATTAAAATTTGTAATTGTTATATCCAATTTTATGCTATTATTTTAACGTGTATTTATCGTTTCTTGGCTAGTTAAAAGAAAAGCAACATGTAAGCCAAGGGATAAAGTTTATTTTAAATTACTATAATTCATCTTATTTAATTTCTTATAATGCTAAATCAAATGGAAATTCGATTGTCTTTCTCAACAAAATTGAAAAAAAAAAAATAATAATAATAAATCCTCTCTTTGCAGTCTGCATGTAAAATTATGAAATGTCCTTCATGCTAACTACTTTATTTTTCTTTCAGTAAGATGATTGTCAGCTACAACAATGTACGAGGAAGGCTTATATATATATATATATATATAATTCTGTTTTGAAAATAGCATGAATGACAACAATATAGTTAAATTTTTATTTAATTATTCCTATTTTATATGAGGAGGCAGACTCGGTTTTATATTTATTGAATTTCGTGTATGTGTGATATTAAAATGAAGAACCACTTTTAAAATTTGATATTAAACATACATTTTATTTTTCAACAGATCAAATGTATTAATGAACAAGTCCAACAATTCAACTGATTTCTTTAATAAAAAAAAAAAAATAACATAGAAATATTTTATTAAATTTATGACTATCTAATTATTTTCATTATAGGGAAATTGCAGGCTATCTAAGCGACAAATTGTTGTAAGATTTCTATAATTTATTCGATCGTACTCGCAATCATCTGTAAAATTAACATAATTTATAAAATTTTGTAGAAAATATAATAATTCCTAGTAAATGTAATGAATTCAATCTTTACATATAAATTTTTTACTGATCACACCACTTAAACAGTAAAGCACATCTAGAGAATGTGAAGGTTTTCATTTTTCAATGCATTTTAAAAATGCATATACATGACTTAAAAAATTTACTTCTGTTAAAAAATGCATAGTTACTTAGTAACACTGGTAACAGAAAATATTTTTATTTATTGTGGTTATTTTTCAGGCTAGTAATATTTTAATTTTCTTAAAGTATTTAAATTATGTTTTGCATGGTAGCACAGAGAAAATTTAATAGACAGCATCATTAGCAAAACATCTGCCATGCACATATATAGCAATTTGCATTCGTAAGATAAGATTTGACAATCTGTAGAATTACAAACATTTGTAACTGTATCATACCATGGTAGAAATAAATAAGTTAAATATTTAAATGGATTATCTGTCGACTACTAAACATATCTTAAGTTTTTAATTCATTAATGAATATTAGTTATTGACCACAACAGTTTTAGGCATATATAATACTGATGAATTTGAAATATATGCTGTATTAAAATAATGTATGCCATTCTATAAACAGAGAAAGACACTATTAATTGTCTTTGGAATGGATCTATTCTTTCCTACCTATATTTAAATCTGAAGTCTTATTCTATGACTTTGTGCTCTGTAAGGGTATCTACTGTTGGGACGATCAACGACGACTCTCAATCTCAATGTGGCCAGACTAGCTTCTGTGACATCACGACAGTCTTCTACCTTTAATGATTTAAGTCTTCTACAATATTCGCCTACCAACCTGTAAAAATGTAATTGAGAATTGTAATAAAAAGTTAAAATAATAAGAATAACCTGTACAGTTTGTGCATTAAAACAGAAATGAAGTATTTTATGCTGTGTTTTCATACAGTTATAATTAAAAATTTTCAAGTACTTCACAATTACAAATCATGTATTTAAATTTAAATTCTTTGCATGGTATATTGTAACAAATTTTAAAGTAACTGACACGCACATAAGCATATACATTTAATTTCAGCACATGATGAAATTGTTCCCATTTTGAATAATTTTAATTCATTACAATTTGAATTTAAAAAATTTCTAAATATTCTCTAGTCTAAACAGCAAAAATTAGAATAAAAAATAAATTAAAACTAATGTAATTTATAATTAAATACTGTATATATAAACTTATAATATTTATAGATCATTACATGTTCTGAAACATTCTTTGATGGATATTTTATACAATTAAATTTATCTTGAGTAGATTAGGCTGTATCTTTTTTTATACTCAATAGTTTTATAAATGTCAAATATAAAAAGATAAATACTACAAAGTTTAATCTGATGACTGATTTTGTAGCTTAAAAAATACATTATAACAAATTGAAAATAACAATAAAATACTTAGTGAATCATTCTTGCACCTATTTATCTGCAATCAGTCTAAATTAAAATACTTTTATAATACTCTTCTATGTTGAATATAAGATATTTCAAAATGAGATATTTTAATAACAAAGTTTTATTTCAAATTGCAGAAAAGTACAATAGAAATTCATGAAGTGTTAAAAGTTTTCAGAGATGATGTTATATATCAGTGGTTCTGAAACTATAGTCTGCAATCCCACAGTGATCCAGGAAATAATTGTTGGAGTCAATCATGGACAGTTTGAGGGTAGGGCAAAGGTGGGTCCTCGCTCATCCTAAAATCTCCTGCCTCCTATTTGTCCAACCTGAAATAATTTATTCAAGTCTACCTATAATGACCATTATTGGAGAGTTCTTTAAATACAAATTGATTGTTTGCCAATTGTAATTACCTATTCTTGCTAAAATTTTTATGCTTATGTGTCACTGAACATCAATCACTAAATATTTGAAACTTTGTTTGCAGATCACATTCACTCCAAACTCTGCTATCCCAGAATAAAAATCCTAATTCTGTTACTGGGTCTGCAAGCCCATTTTCTAAAAATGCTTTTACTTTATTACTTAGCAAACATTAAGAAAATTATTATTTAAAGCTATATTAAGCTTTAAATAAATGTGATAAATTTGTATATTATATATTAAAATGTTATATTTTAAATTAATAAATTTTTGAAAAAATAAAAAAGTTGGTTCTTTTCATTAAATTTTATAATTTATTAATTCTATAATTTTGATAGAACTTTTTAAATTAATGCAATCAAAGACTATCAAAAACTAATATAAGATGCTTCAGATGCTTATTATTACTGTAGTTTATTAATTAAATGACTGAAAGCTAACAGCTAAAAATAGGGGTCTGCCAAAATATATTTGTTTTAAAAAGGTCTTGACCTCTCAAAGTTTCAGAATCACTCTTATATACCAATGAAGACTTGCAAGGTTAAAGAAAGTTACATATCACTTTCTCTACAAATAACAATTTTCACTGTAGATATCCTTCAATATCCTTCATCTTTAAAACAAATGATTCAATTGTTGCTTATTTTCATTGATTAAAGTAACACTATTCATTATGTTTTCAGTGAAAATGTATAACAAGATCACACCACTTTCACTGAGATATTAATCTTAATGGCTTTCAATATATGATATATCCTTTTTTGTATGATCTAAATAATATGTAGGACACTAAGCAACCACAACAAATCTTCAGTAAGTTATCTTGGTAACAATTCTATAGTACATCAAGTCTACTGGTAAATGTATTCAAGTCAAATCAACAACTCCAATAAAAATATTAACATTATACACTGCTACATACAATAAATAATAATGGAATACTGTAGTATGCTTTGCTTATGCTATTTGTAAGAAGGATGTAGAGTTGGAAACAGCATGTGTTATGATGTAGTTCATTTATACTGAAGTTTAATTATGTTCCAAAAATATTAGTTTATTTACATTAATTTAGATCATATAGTATACTTGTTTATTACAGTCTCAGAACTACAGTGAGTACAATAAAATACATACAGAAAACATTTCTGTAAAATTAAACTTCTCATACATACTTAATTTTAGTTAAACAAACATACCTATATAAGTAAAAACAGATAAACTAACTAAATTGTCAATTTTTTAATAGATGTATTCTGAAAAACTACTTTATTATATAACGGACTTTCAGCATTAACGAACACCACTTCATTTGAATTATTCTAATTAAATCAAGGTTTTACTGTAATAGGTATAAGTTATCTGAAGAATCCATATAAAAATATTAAAATAAATAAATAAATATATAATACAGAAAAAAAAATATGAGTTTAGAGATTATGTAGTAAAGGTACTGCTGAGAAGAGAAAAGAAATTAAATAGCTGATATAAAGAATGTTTCTAAATTACTTGCTAAAACTTGAATATTAGATTCCTGGATCAAAACTAAATGAAAAATGTAGACACAAAATTTGAAAACTGATTTGTAAATGAGATCTTGATTTTTACAAGATATTGGCTATATTGAAGCAAACAGCAGCAATTTGAGTGTTTATTTGTTCACTAATAAAGCATCTTTTATTTTATTGTACCATTATATATATATAAATAATGATTCAATAAAATAAAAAAATTATATATATATATATATATCATTTTAATAATAATAAAAAGAAGTTTCAGTTGAAAATGAAAATCAAGTTACAAACTTCAGTATGTAACTTGACTTTCAACTTAAATAATGATTAGATGGTATGCTGCTAAAGATTTTAATTTTGTCCTTTGAATTGTTCATTATTATTTTATGAAGAAATTTTGCTTTAATTAATTCACCGGATTATAGGAATGAAAATGTTAACATTACATTATTTTGCAATTATTACTACATTAGACACACAAAATTTAACAGTTGCTATCTTGTAACAAACTCCTTTGTGTTGGATTAACTTAAATTTGTACACGGAATCAGGCATATGGAGGTCACCTTATATCCAGGGTGATGCCATCCAATTATGTTTGTGAATGTATGTAGATGTGCTTTTTTAATTGCTGTTATAAGGCATGTATTTGTAAGATTATAATCTTTGTTTTTATTTGTTATACATTCATATTTCCATTATTTTTTCTTTTTGTCCTGGACAAACACATGCATTCATAACATTGCATATTTGATTCAATTTCACCTCAAGAATATGATACTAAAGTTTTAACATTTGATTTAGAAACATTCTATACAATTAGTATTTAAAATCCTTAAAATCATTTTTCAATCTAACATAAAATTAATTAAAAAGGCTATAATAGATGTAAATTGATGACCATAAAGAATTGAAAAAATAAAAAAAATTTTATACATGTTTTGTAATTAGAAATATTGAAGACAAGACAGATAAATATAAATAGATTTATTATTTTGTTAGTATAGGAAAGATATTAACAGAAAAAAGAAAATTTAATAAATCATGAGTGATTATTGCAGGTGATAGTTATAAAGGAATAGATTAGGATATTGTTCATATAATACTGAATAACTTAAGATGTTTTATTGAAGAAGCAAAGATTGGAGTTTTGAAGTATGCTTTATCATCACTATCTTGCTATAATAAGCACCCTTGAGGCATATTTGTTTGCATAGGAAAATGTAGCATTCTCTAAGATATCTTTGTACTGGAATTAATCAATTTTGCTTTCTACTTCAATTAAGATATACACCATATGCAGAGAAGCAGCTCAACCCCATTATATTGCCACTTCCATGCTTAACAGTAGGTAGCTGATATCTAACATTGTATAGTGTGCCTTCAGATTGTCTAACATATCAGTGGCGTGCCGTGACATTTGATGATAGAGAAGCTGTGTTTCTGTAAGAAGCCGACTTCCAGGGGCAGTCAGTCAGTGATGGTCTAGGGTCCATTCGATTTCGTTTGTTCGATAAGCCAGTAAAAACCGTAGACTTCTCTAAATGTATTTTTAATTAATAGATTATCTAACGCACTTAATAAATAAGCAAGTTCAATATAATTAACTCTGTTATATTAGATTTAATAGATTCCCTATGCCCTCTAAATGCCAATTCTTGCTTCGATAACACATACTAATTTAAATATAATATATCTATTAGCCGTAACCATCTTGTTATAATTTTCAATATTTATTTTATATTGTTTACTAATGTTAAATTCTATTCTATTTTGATTTCCAAATTGCTTCAATTTTACGAAAGAATCGATATGAGATTTACGATTTTTGTGTCTTTTGCCAGCTTTACCAAAATTATTTAAATCTTCAAAGCCATTCTTATTCCAAACAGTAATTTCATTTGAAAATAATAGGCAAGGCCAACAAAACAATTTTTGCATTTTTATGCATCCACAAAGCCATTTTACGTCTTCATAAATTTTATTGTGAAAATGTCGAACAAATTCTTTTGTTGATGTATTTATATTTAATTTAGGCATTAGTCTTTCTCTTTTAATAATGTTTTCTTTTTCATTATATGCTCTTAAGCCAAAACTTTTTTAAAATAAATTTTTAATATCACAATTACATTCTAAATCGCTAGCTGTTATAAGGGCTAAAATTAAAAATAAAATTATAAAAACTTACTTGTTAAAATAAAATGTGTGATGGATATACAATTATACATACCTGGTACAAAATATTCAATTGTATGAATACAGTTTTGTGAAGAAACGTACATAAAAATAACAAAATGTTCTTTACTTTTTAAATATTAAAACAATCCGCTTAGTTAAAATGGCTCCCTACCAGTGGCTCATGGATGGAATCAGAGACGATCTTGGTAGGTGTGCAGTGCGTGCATGCAAGCCTAATCCCGAGGGTGCCGATACCGGTTAATGTCAAATGCCTCTTTTGTCGCATCACTAGTATACCTCAAAGGATGCAACAGGGTTGTTGTAAATTTTAAACATTTCTCGCCATAGCTGTAAAAATCTAAACATGTTAAACTTAATAGATTGTCCATCAATATACTGTATTTCAAAAAACTGGTTATTTAATTTTAATTATATCTGACTCACCAAATAAACCATATCCAGTTCATAAGCCAGCAGAAAAATTCTTTCTACGAACGTTTTCGTCTATATGTAATAGACATCCTCAGGTATTGACGATATCGAACTAACGGCTAGTCGAATAGAACAGCCGTTAGTTCGATATCGTCAATACGTGAGGATGTCTATTACATATAGACGAAAACGTTCGTAGAAAGAATTTTTCTGCTGGCTTATGAACTGGATATGGTTTATTTGGTGAGTCGGATATAATTAAGATTGTCCGTCATTTGTTTTCTAACTAATTCGTTTTAGGACCAGGTGTTGTCCACGGAAATTTCCAAAATTTACAACTTCTCGGTCAATCTCGTTGAACTGGAAAATTTTCTGTCTTTATTACATCTAATATTTCGAAGAAATCAGTCCCCACTGTATTCGGCTATAGATTGGTTCAGTTGTAAATTTTAAATGTTTAAACTTAAGCTTTTGTTTAAGTAAAATTTTGGCTCTTCCATCAGGGTTTGTTTATGTCCCCAATTCACTAATCGCTTAATTATTTAATTATTTCTTAAGTAGAAATAAGTCGAAAGTAGTTACTTTGTACTTGAATATTTGTAGTCTTGGGAAAAAAGTGGAAAGACAAATTTTTATGACAAACGGATACATAAATTGTAAATTTAAAGAAAATAAATTCTAGAGCTTTTTCTGTGCCTTGTGCATCTCTCTCATTCATTAAATTTAGTTGTAAATGATGCTCCAAAGTAACAGTTAATTTTTAACATTATACAAGAATTGTACACGTTTTTTCTACATCCTCTTAAAGATGGGATATACGAAATCGTAATATCACTGGTTTAACATTGAAATCTGTGAGTAATATAAGATTGGAAAGCGGAATAAAAGTATCATATTTTAATGGATTTTTTAAAACTCCTGTCAACTATACAGAACTATCATAAAAATATACCAGTAAATTCTTATTGTTTGGTTATTGGTAAATTCTTATAAATCTACTCGCGATTCGCATAATCGGGCAAGGGCGGCCAAATATCTAGCGGAAAAGCGGCTAACAGCCCAGAACCGGTCCTGGATAGAATTGGATGCATTATACATGTAGCATCCACCCAAGGTCCTACGCTTCCACCGGCTAAACTGGGTGAGGTTGGTGCTCTGTAAAGCGCATGCGCAAATCTGGCTTTTTGGATACTGACAATACAGCGCTTCCACTCCGCCACTAATATTCGAATATACAATAGCAATCTTATTTTTTTTTCACATGTGGTATAGAAATTTGTAGTAAGATACATAATGCGGTTATAATAAAATATTGTGCGATTATTTTCATATAATTAAAATTAATATGTATTTATTTTTTAGAAAATACAAGGGAAGTGGCACATCCACCGCTTACAATGACGGCACGCCACTGTAACATATACCTATCATCACTTCTAAAAGAATAATTTATTCCCATAAGAAAGCAATACTTTTTGACAAGTACTACTGATTGTACTCAAATTCAAGTTATTATTTGAACTTAAAAGTTTCTTTATTCCAATATAAACATTTAGTTCTACAGCTTCTAGAAAGTAACCAACAGTACAGTAACTAATTTCAGCATTCCTAATTTATCTATGCAACATCCATGCTTGAAGCAGCCACAGATTTATGTCTAATAATTCTATCAACACATAGAATTGTTTTCTGTGGTCTTCCTGAATTTATATGGTTTGCCAGTCTACTCTGAATCTTAATTTGACAATTGTATATTTCACAATAGTCATTTCGAAGTGCTGCCACTTCAAGTTGGCTTATCCTTTTTACATAACTGGACTATGGACATAGGAGACATGTAAGGAGCCATGTTTATTTTGTAATATGATTTTATGCAAATTTTTAACAGAGAGAAAATGCCCAGTTAAAAAATATTTGAAAAATCAATTAACTTTGTGAGTCAATATCTTGCCTGAATTCTTTTTGTTCTTATACAATTACAATAACTTAACTGTTAATTTTTTAAGATAAAAATTGTTATTAGTGCATAGTTTTGTGTTATTTTTATTGGTTTTATTGTTTTTTTTAAATCAGTGTACAACAAAAAAAATTTATAAGCAAAAGTTATAGTCAACACTTTTGTCTGCCACTGTATATAATTGTGAATTTTAATATTTGATTTATTTATTTATTTTTATTTGTAACAATTTGTCAGTTTTCTCAGATTTTTGATTTTTTCAGATTAAAGAGAACCTGAATGAATAAAAATATTAAAAATTATATTTTGAATAAACTGTTCTACAGGGTAGCACATGAAATGTAATACATTGAAAATGTCTTAGAAAATATTCCAAAAAAATTAATATTAACAATACACACTGAAATGTGCATGGCAAACCAGTATGTGCTCAATATTTGTTACTTCTTGGTGTAAAACTTCTGAGATGGACCTTCATGTTTTTGAAGGTCACCCCTTTCAGATGAACCCTCATGTTACCACATGTAAAACAACATTATTTTCATATGTTCACGTGTCAAACACCTGTGTCTGCCATGTTTTATAACTGAAAATCTGTGGTGTCCTTATATGTGACATCGACAAGTACTGCCATCTACCAAACCATGCATAAACCAAAGCTATCTGTGGCAAAATTTAAAAATTCAAAACCAAAAAATAAAAATTTTGTAAGACATTTTCAAGTGTGTGATATTTCATGCATCACCCTGTATTTATCATAAAATGTTTCTAATTTTTGATTTCTGTTACTGTTAACAAAACAATACTCCAAAAAATATTTTATTATTAAATTAGAATTAACTGCTTAAGTAATGTTTAATTGTGGTACTATTTGTATTTACTATACTTATTAATAATTCAAATTTTCTATTATTTGTTGCAACTTTTTAGTGTTTTTGTTTTTATACATATTAATTATTTTAATAATTCTATACTAATACCTGATTCCAAAGTCTGTTATTCTCCAACATCCAGAAACATTTAGATGCTCTAAAAGTTTGGAAGTACATGCAATCATACTCATAGTATAATCAGTAATACCATAAATCCGAGACAAAGATAAATAGGATAACCTACAAAAGAGATTAAAAAAATATTTTGAAATATATTAAAATTTTAGTAATATTCAGTTGTCATTTAATTATTTCATTAAAAATGAAAAACTTACTTTGGACAATTAGCAACCAATTTACATACTGATTCATCTGTAACTTCCCAACAACTTGTTAAATCAACATATTCTAAGTTTTTACATTCTAAAGCAAGTGACATTATTGCTGTGGCACTAACCCAATGACAGTTTTGCAGTGATAATTTTTTTAATCCTCGGCACTTAGTTGCTAAAATTTGTAAATTTAAATTAGTGAGAGCAGAACAACCAGAAATATCCAAATGCACAATACTTTCATTTGTCTTCAATACTGGTGTTAATAAATCACTATTTAACCATTTACAATTCCTTAAAATCAAAAATTGAATGTAAGAATTATTCATTGAGATAATTTGAAAGGCTTTGGCATTAAATTGTCCACTAACTATAGAGAGATCAATAGATTGACATGATCTGAAATACTCTGTCACCAAACAAAGGACTTCACTTGATACACGTCTTAGACGAAATAAATCTTTCCAATTAAGTAATGGTAAAAGATAAACAAATAAAACATCGTTCCATGGAATGTTTAAGAGAGATATAACAGCTTTTCTTTCTTCATCTGGCATTTTTTATTCTGAAAAACATTAAATCTATTTAAATTTTGAAATTCATTAAATAAAAACTTGATTCACTAAAAAATATATAATTTTAAATCAGGACTACAATTATTATTATTTTAATTAAAAATTAATTTAGTTATAATTCAAAATTTATTATAAAAATAATTTCAATATTGATAACTTATAAATTCACTTTCTTTCAATTTGACTAATATGTTTTGTATTTTTCTCCCCCAAAATTTCTAGAATTAAATATATTATGGAAAAATAACCTTGGAGAATGCTTAATGAGGAAATAAATAAATAAATAAGCAGACAAGAAACACAGATGATGTCAGAAGCTTTTTCTTTCGAGAGATGTTTGAAAATGTTAAGAAAATTCTTGAATGCATTTTCTTTTTCAACTAGTTACTTAGTTGGCCAGATGGCTAAGACAGTTAAAGTGTTAGCTGACTGCTCTGGAGACCAAAGATTGAAACTGGTTAGGTCAAAAAACTCCCAGAAACTTTTTGGGGTAGTCTAATCTGGATAATTCAGGCCTCATCTCTTGTCACTTGGCTGCTTCATTTTTGGTCCAGCCAAATCCATAATGGGCTTAAAAACTCACTGCTTAATTAAATGATTTATATTTTAATCATTTGTGGATCTGGAATTCTTTCTTCTAAATAAAAATTCCACAATATTGAATATAAAAAAGATTAAACTATTAATAAGTAAAACTTTTTAATGAAAATTAAACAACATAATCAATTATTATAATTATATATTCAATATATATGAGGTCAAACAGTTGATCCTATATAATAATGATATAAGAAGATCAATTATGAATATCAATTAATACAAACTTTTTTGGTTCTCTTGAATCTCCAATATTAAACTTATGCTAAAATGTTTGGATATTACAAAGTATATCAAATTAAACAAAAATTTGCACTCATTAACATATCGCTGTGGTAAAAATAGATAACAGGATAAGAAAAAGCCAATTTTATTGCTTAAACTTGAATGTCATACAAATTCTCCCAAGAAAAGACTTTAAACCTTCCAACTAAAAATTTATTTTAGCTACTCCAGCAATCCAGTCTGACTTCTTTCTGCTTTAAACGTTCAGGCCTATGACTAATGTTGGGTGATCAAAATCAAAGATACTACTTTATTATCCCCTTTTGCTTTCATTAAGGAACTACAGTAGGTCAGTCAGGTTATCAACTTGTTCCTCTAAACTTCAAAACAATAGAACCATATCCCATTCCTATTGCTCTATGCCAGTGACTGTCTGATCTCAACAGCTGTATTGATCAATTTCAAACAAACAATAAACCAAAAGAGGAAGACACTATCATTGTGCTTGAAATTCAGTTTATTCTGACTTTACCTTTTTGAGAAAAGACAGAGCAAGCTCATTGCAGTGTGCTTTTGATCACAATGTCTGAGTCTNTTCTTATGAACCCCCAGGGGGCTGCGGCCCCCTGTTAAAAAACACTGCTCTATACTACTTAATTTTCTTTATTTTCATTGCACTTAAAGCAACAGTCTCATAGCTATTTCTTTTAGTCTCTGCCTTGTTGTTTTCACAGAAATAGTTTTTTTAGTTATTTCACTCCATTTGTTAGTTAACATTTTGCTGAATTTTTCCTAAAAGTTGTTATAAAACTTCTGAAAACTTTATCTTCTAACTTTCTATTATAACATGGTCTTCCTGATCTTGGTTGCACATCTGTTTTTCCAGTTTCCTTTTACTTTTTAATGATTCTACCCAGAGTAGATTTGCAATATTCAGTTAGCTTGCTTATTTCTGAGTTAGAAACACTTTGTAAATGTTTCTTAATAATTAACTCTCTTACATCTTTTCCAATTGGTTTACAATTAGGTACCACAAGTATATTTAAATAAATTTTTTCATTCTTACAAGTCCAATATGCAAAATACTTCTGCTAACGCAAGTTAAAACACACAATGATCATTTTCTATATAAAATATCAAATTGTTATAACATAATTTTATGAATTTAATCAAAGTTACAGAACTTTTATCTTAGTTTTCCTATGTTACAAGATATTTGTCCATGATATGTTTTTCACTTTTTTGTATTGCACTGTAAAAATAAATAATTTAATAACAATATTTGTGGTCTTTTTTTAAAAAAAAAAAAAAAAAGGGAGCCTGCTCTATCTCTAGCCTCATAGAATCTCTTAATGGCCCTGTCTACTCATTATTTATAACATTCAAGCATTCAAATATGTTTTAAATAATATTCAGAAATTAGAAATTTACTGAATAAGAAATATTTTTGCAATTTTATCTTTGGATTATTATTATGAATGCAGAACATGAATAAACTTTAAACAAAATTTAAATTACAGTGCATTCCTGATGGCACATCAATGGTTTTTTACTGTAATCAATTACACAATCATTCATTGATATAATTGTACTTGAAATAGCATTGCATACATTAAAAAAACATGTTGACTTTAATGTGTTTCTGTCTATTTATTAGTAGTTTTAATATGTTTAATATTTGCATGGCTATTTTAATTTTAATTATTTCAATAAAGAATTATATATGATGATTGATTAATTTAAATATTATTAAATGCTCTGCTGGAAACACACCATAATGTAATTTAGATTTTGTTTAACATTTATTCTATATTCTTTATTCATAATGAAAATCTCAACTTAAAATTTTAATAAGCAAACAAACATTTTATATTTTAATTATCTTTATTATTAAGTTATTGTAGACTCTTTTAGCTACTTTGTAGGCATTGAAATTGGTATCATTAGAATTCGATCGGAATAATGTGATTTAGTGATGATAAAAAATTAGCATGTACTTTCAACATTTCATCAATGTCTTCTTCAAGCAATGTAAAAGTAGAATATTTTATTAAAAGTACTATTAGAATACTTGTTTGACCAAAAAAGAATTTTTGTTATGTACTTTATGTATATAAAGAAATCTTTTATATAAATAATTACAAACAATTCTTCAGCAAATTTCAAAAAAAGTTATATATTTAAATATCATGATAATATTTAAGAAAGAAAGGTATCAGATTAATGAAATTTAATAAAAATTTAACAGGACAATTAACTATTATATTTACATAAATTCAACTATATTATTATGATTAAATAAAAACAATTTTGCTTACATTGTACATCAGCATTTCTATGTTTTAAGGTTTCCATATTTTAAAGCTGTTTGTCCAGCAAGAAAGTAAAAGCAAACAATTTCAACATATGTTTGGAAACAAAACTTCTTGTCACAAAACACAGTACTATACTGGTTCCTAAATAATAATAAAATAAGAATATTTTTAAATATTTTAGAATTACAATTAGAGTTTTGATTACTTACTATTGTGTAAATTAAAGTTGAATTACATTTTAATTTTATTTCAAAAAATGCATTAAACTTCTTTCTTGTAATTGAAGGAAAATAATAATTTTCATACACCTTTGTTTTATTATACCACTTTCTATTAGAGTAAATTAAGCAAATTTATAATGCTTTATTAAAATATTTTTAAATTTATAATTATGTAATATTGAATAACTGTTATTAAACATATTGAATGAATGGTAAATACTTAGATTTTTAAGAAATAATTATGTAGATATTATAACAAAAATAAAATAAAATAATTAAAAATTATTGCTTGAAATTAAATAGCAAATAAAAGTTAAGAATGAATAAAATAATAAATTTTTAAAAATTGAAATGTATTTAATAAACCAACAAAATATATCTTGCATCCAACTTTAACTTTTATCCATAAATAATTTCTCTGTAATTTGTACAGAAGAAAAATAATGACTTCATTTGATAATTTAAATAAAAATTCATAGGATTTCGTAAGTGTAAATAATATTTGTTGTTAGTGATGAGGATTTCTGTATATTAATTTACAAGACAATCTATAAAAAAAAATCTATGTAACACACCAAGTCCTTTTGGAGAATTAATATTTCTTGTAGTTGTTAATATAGAAAGCAATTCTGATAAATAATAATTTATTATTATTATTATTTATCAGAATTGCTTTCTATATTAACAATCTACAAGTATTAATATTTTATAATTTGTACTATGAAATATTAATTCTCCAAAAGGACTTGGTGTGTTACATAGATTTTTTTTTATAGATTGTCTTGTAAATTAATATACAGAAATCCTCATCACTAACAACAATATATTATTTACACTTACGAAATCCTATGAATTTTTATTTAAATTATCAAATGAAGTCATTATTTTTCTTCTGTACAAATTACAGAGAAATTATTTATGGATAAAAGTTAAAGTTGGATGCAAGATNTAAAATTTAAAAATTTAAATTCAGTTTCATTTATAAAATATTTCAGAACTGGAAGATTCTTTATATGAAGATGAGTTTTTATTAGTATTATTACTTACAGTGCCGGCCCGAGGCAAGTTCTAGGATGGAGCGAGATCCTATTATGGCGCCCCCTTAGTTTTCCCTAATTTATACCCTTTAATTTTCTTTACCACTGAGGTGCCCCCTACGACTTAGCGCCTGGAGCGGCTGCTCCGTTCGCCCTATGGTAGGGCCGGCTCTGATTACTTATGAATGAATATCCTTTGTTTTGTAGTGAATTTTTAATCTACTCTATCCATTACAGTAATAATATTACACTATTTTCTATCTAATACAATAAATAATATGGAATGCATAAATATAAAACTGCTTAAAACAATATACATTGAATAAAAATCAAAAATATAAATAAAGAAACATTTGTATCATAACGTTTAGAAATAATTTTCAGAAGTATTATCTTTGACAAACTGAGTTTTGGACACTATATTTCATTCTTTTAATCATATGACATTTCTTTCAGGAACTAAAATTTTATTTTACCTAGTGTTTTGCATTCATCATCAGTTTATATTATTTAGATTTAAAATTGTACAAACTTGCAGAAATAAATATTTGCTCCAGTCTAACTTCTATTTATATCACTAAGAAATCAGCTATTCCTGTCAGGAATTAAAACCAACAGTTAAGGTAAAGAATACAAAATGAGAACAACACAGTATGAAGATATAACTAAATGATCTAAAGAAAAACAAACAACAATAACTTAAAGGTATATTTTTCTATAGATCAATTAAATTATTATATGCTAACTGCTAACAGTTTCGTTGTATAAAGCCAAATGATTGCTGACTAATAGCAGTAAAATAACCCAATTTAATCCAGTACTCATTTGGTTTTATTGTGAACACCAGGCTTTGAGATGTTTTGTTGTGTCTTTCACATTATTACCATTTTTATTGGATGAATAAATATAATTTCAAATTTCAATTCCTTGAAGTAATATAACTGTGATTACAGATAAAATTATTCTGTGCAGAAATCAAATATATTGATATATAAATAATTTTGAAATTTTAACTTTGGTTTAGCTTTATTTTCTGAAATGAAGTAAAAGCTTTACTACTTCAATAAGAGTTTCAGTAAGGATTTTGTCTATAATTATTTCAACAGTTAATATTAACAATTATATTAGTTACAGCCAGTGCCAGCCCGAGGCAAGTTTTAGGATGAAGCAAAATCCTATTATGGCACTTCTCTTCGTTGCCCCTAATTTATACCCTTTAATTTTCTTTATCACTGAGGCGCCCCCTAGGACTTAGCGCCTGGAGCGGCTACTCTGTTTGCCCTATGGTAGGACCGGCTCTAGTTACAGCCCACTTCCCCTGCTTGTTTACTCTATTAGAGTCTATCCCTTTTCCTTTCTTTCTGACACTAGCATTCCATTTTCAACTGTCCATACCTGAGGATGGCTCATTCATAACTCCTCATAAATCAGTGTGTTTTATCTGTGATTGAAGTTTAAAGCAACCACACAGCCATTAAACATGATTTTTTGCCAATATGTACAATTTGTCAAAGTCACTGTTGTGACAAAGCCAGAATTTTGAAACGTGATCTATGGGCTGAGATATTCCATGCTAAATTTCTTGATGTAAACTCTTTGGACGGTTGCCAGTTGTAAGCTTTTCGTGTGCAACATCTCAAACAAGTCTATGATTACTGTTAATTTACATTGATCTTTAGACAACTTTTTCTTTTGATCTTTACCACGGGCATTTAACATGCATGACATTATGATGAAATTAACTTTTGAAAACTTGCATGTGTTTCCTGTGGTAGCATATGTGCATGTTTTAACCAGTCACTGGAGTCGGTAGGCTGCTACTGCATGTATGGGTGTTTTCAATGTTTCTTGTCTTGACATTTTTGTCAGCTATGATGATGGACATGCATGTCCCCCTGCAGGTTTTAAATGCTTTAGACAGAATGTTATAAGCATATCACTACATTTATGTGTTTGTTTCAGGCCAAAACAGAAAAACCTAAGCCACAGAGCTCAGTTTTCTTTTCCTAGAAAATACCTAATATTTTTCTGTTCTCTACTTTTATATATTCATTTTAATATCTGACTGAAATAATCACTTTTTATCGATGTGAACAGATGTATTAGAACTGCTGGATTGATTGATTGCTGCTATAATAATAAGTTTATAAATTTTAAACAATGTATCCTGATGCTAGATGTACTGTTTCATATCTGTCAACTATCCATCTTTAGAGTCAGCATTCACTGGCTTTGCTCTTTGTTTCCTTCATTGCTAATTTTTAAATTGCCCATTTTTCTTGCCAAGAGAGAAATATGATTAAAAATAAAAATGACACACAAGTGAAATTAAGACAATATTAATATTAAACATCCAAATTAAATCATTTTGGCATAGGTTTGGTCAATCATATTGCACACTTATAGATGTTAGGGAATTTACATACAGCCAGAAATACTTATAATCTCCTTTAGAAAAATATGGTATCTGTATTTGGATAGTCATATATGATGAAAAATTACAAACAGTGGTAGATAAAAAGGACAAAAACAAGTGAAACTTTAAGGGAGCTAATACTAAGGGTTCTAGTAACTATAAACAAAAATACAAACTCTAAAACCACCTAATGCAGTAATAATTAAAACTATCTTTATTCAAACGTTTTTAATCGTCTGAAACAATTTTTCCTGATAGATTATTATTGCATTACATGGTTTTAGAGTTGGTATTTGTACAAGTGCACCTCGTATATGTGTAATAAGTATTTAAAAGGATTGGATAAGATAAAAAGTCATCCAAACTGTAATGAAGCACGTGTGTCTGCAGTGCAGTAAAAAAGTCACACTTCTGAATGTTTACTTCTTTGTATATTTTATACAGAAAATGTAGCATAAATATATGCACATGTTACATAAATTTTTAGTCAATTTTAATGTATCACCTTCTTAGCTTAAATGGTCAACTAAATTTGACAGATGCACAAAAACTGTTGTAAGCTCTTTCTTTGCACATATTAAATTTAACTGGAATATTTCCTTTTGTTGTATAATTGAAATTTAAACACTTTTTCAAGTCACAAAATAACTGAATAAAAAAGTAATCATTGCATTTGGATAAGAATGTTAAATTAAAATGGCTTTGACAAATTAATAGCTTATGGTGAGTTTTTTAGTGGCTCACAATTGCAATTCAAGTTAAATAAAAGTTCAAAAAGAAACATAAAAAAAATAATAAATATCTAAATATCTTTTAATGCATGATTAGCTAACATTTATTCCAAATGACTGAATTATCTCTGTTAAAATACAAATAGACGAATAAACATATAAGAGTAATGTATATTACAGATTATATATCCTTGCAATTGCCATTTACATTTATTTACTTATTATTTAAATCTTAATATCCTAGCTTGATGTCACCTATATTAAAAAGTAGAAAAATGATTTGTAAGCAAAGTTAAAGAGTACTGATTTAAAGCAGACAAATTAATTTTATTTAATAGTTGTTATATCATAATATTTCTTCTCAATAACAATCTGTGTTTCTTAGACAAAATTATGCAATATATCAATGAAATGATTAAAAATATTATGAAGCAAAGTTCAAATAAATTATGATAATATACATGTTTTGTTATACACAATATGCCATTGTAATTTATTTATATTATTTCTTTTAAAATCATTTTTTTCCATATATAGACTTGTCACTTAAAATGCATCTAATGGTATTAACTCATTGAATTACACTGGAAATTGAATAACAATAGTATAATAAGTAATAAAAATAGAGAAAAATAGTTTGCATGGTAATTAGATATGATTTTTAAATATTACAAAAATGAAATTTAATATGAAAATTATTACTCATTATAAATCCTATCAGTTTACCTTTTTTTTAATTCTACAGATAGATAAACATATGGAGAAATTGAGTATAAAATTTCTACTCTAGTTTGGTTCCGAGAGGACAATGTTTAGTTTAGAGATACTTGGACAAAACAAATACTTAGTTCTGGAGAACAGTTATAGAAAAAGAGTTTTGATATGAAATTACTTCTATAAATTTCACTTTCACAGTTATTTTAATTTTAGCAAGCATTCCTTTACTTAATAATTTAAGATAACAAAAGAAATACTAAACAGACAGACAACAAATGGATGAATGAGAAAAGTGAATATAAAAGTAGGTTTTTAAAATTATTAATAAAAGAAAATCTGATTAAGTACAAAATTCACACAGTTTACACTCACAATTTTTATTACCAGTCTAATTGAAAAGAAAGGTATGTATAAATAAAAAGATAATATTTATGATAAATTCAATTAGCATATCTCTACATTTATGTGTTTGTTTCAGGCCAAAACAGAAAAACCTAAGCCACAGAGCTCAGTTTTCTTTTCCTAGAAAATACCTAATATTTTTCTGTTCTCTACTTTTATATATTCATTTTAATATCTGACTGAAATAATCACTTTTTATCGATGTGAACAGATGTATTAGAACTGCTGGATTGATTGATTGCTGCTATAATAATAAGTTTATAAATTTTAAACAATGTATCCTGATGCTAGATGTACTGTTTCATATCTGTCAACTATCCATCTTTAGAGTCAGCATTCACTGGCTTTGCTCTTTGTTTCCTTCATTGCTAATTTTTAAATTGCCCATTTTTCTTGCCAAGAGAGAAATATGATTAAAAATAAAAATGACACACAAGTGAAATTAAGACAATATTAATATTAAACATCCAAATTAAATCATTTTGGCATAGGTTTGGTCAATCATATTGCACACTTATAGATGTTAGGGAATTTACATACAGCCAGAAATACTTATAATCTCCTTTAGAAAAATATGGTATCTGTATTTGGATAGTCATATATGATGAAAAATTACAAACAGTGGTAGATAAAAAGGACAAAAACAAGTGAAACTTTAAGGGAGCTAATACTAAGGGTTCTAGTAACTATAAACAAAAATACAAACTCTAAAACCACCTAATGCAGTAATAATTAAAACTATCTTTATTCAAACGTTTTTAATCGTCTGAAACAATTTTTCCTGATAGATTATTATTGCATTACATGGTTTTAGAGTTGGTATTTGTACAAGTGCACCTCGTATATGTGTAATAAGTATTTAAAAGGATTGGATAAGATAAAAAGTCATCCAAANGTTATAAAGTATAATAAAAATCTCTTTTAAGCACTTTTTTCTATTGTTAAATTGTCTCAATAAAACATTATTATTAAATTTAAACGAACAACAGATGAATTACAGTTTGTTATAAACAATTACAATTCCATTGTTAAACCACACCATTTTTTAAGTAATTATATTTAATGTCATTGATTTATAAATGCTTCTTTACTAACAGAACAACTAAAAATTTAAAGATATCCAACAATTTATTTTCTATAGCTTTTCTCTCACTCACTAAGGAGAGCTTCCCGACTGATTTATACACATATAACTTATACGGCGTCAAGAAACAAAAATACGGCGCTCAGAGATTTATTATATCATTTTTTATTTGCTCATTTACATATCGAAAACAATGATAAAATCCTAAACTCCACAGCCGTAATGCATACCATCTACACAGGGCTAGAAGCTTTTCTAGACAATATTGCATTAAGGTTCAGCAGTGTGTTACACCCACGCCACGTCCAGGTAAATTCAAATTAGGGAGACCACATATGGCGTCCACTTCGGACATTTTTCTTCAAGGAATTTTTGAGGAAAATATTTTCTTATAAATGATCAGTTTGGCCAATAAAAAAAAAAAAAAAAGCAGTTGCCTGCCCTTTTTTTACCCATAAGATAATGCACCACTGTGAAGGTTATCTATATATATAAATGGATGTGTGTGTCCCTATATTTCACTTTTCAACCAAAACTATACATCGCACATGAATAGTGTTCGTATGTAATAGTAGCCCCAAGTCTCCATTCGTGCACTACGGTGGTTGCGTCTCGATAGCTATAAGGGTGCAGGAGATATGGGGTTGAAAGTGGTTGACTTCAAAGATGTGTAACAATGAAAGTGTTAACATTGGAAGTGTTAAGAATGGAAATGTTAACAATGGAAGTGTTAATATAAAGCGGCATGCAAGATTTACAGGTGGTTTTTTGCGTTTTTGTGGAAAATCAAACATATTTTTAGACTCAAGTAAAAATTCTCTAATTAGTCTGGAAATGGGGAACCTAATTCTTGCATTCTGTGAAAACGGGTAAGATTGGCTATAATGTAATTATCTTAATCTTCACTATCGTTACTTTTTGTCCACAAATAAAAACCCAGCGAAGCGGGTCCTTGCAGCTAGTAACAAATAAAAATATTATTATTTGTAAGATCCTGTACATTTTGTTTTGGACAATGTATTATGCAATATATCTTTTTTAAATTGTAAAACAAAGATTTCGCAAGTAAGAAACGGGTAGAAGTTACTTTTAGGTAATTAACTCATATATACGTATATACATAATGACCTAAAAGTAACTTCAACCGAAAGACAATTTATTTATATTGAATGTGCTCATGCTTATACATAAAATCGATCTTTAACATTCGCTTTAGTCTTTCAAGCAACAATTAAGCCATATTTTATAAGAATAAATACAATTTTCAGTGTAAAACATATTCATGTAGTACTGCAGATGTACCCATTTTGAATTTACTCGAATTGAAGAATTAAATCGATTACGAGCATTAAAACCATGTAATTTTAATATATATTATTGAATCTTGATTCAATTTTTCGTTATAAATTCTCACCTAAGTTTTTCTCTATAAAAAGATAACCGATTGTTTCATCTTGAAAGGAGAAACCATCCTCTTCCTCCCTTCTTCCTTCGACGGCTACAAGAGGGCGTAAGCGTCACTTACAGAATTATGAAGCAGACGAAGTTACAGTCACTCTAAATGACGCTAATAATATATATATATATAATTTTATATTATTTATTGAAAAAATTTTTGTAANGGTGGAAAATAGTAAATTAAATAGTAATACATGTATATTCAATATAACTTTATAATATTTAATAGGCATCGAGATAGTTCTTTTATATACTTTTTTTTAAAAATTTATATAACTCTTGCGTCATATTATAATGATTTTATAGTAACAATAGATATAATCAATTTAAAATGTATTGTGGTCATCATTATGAATGTTTTCTTCGGAATCTCAGAAACGCTTGAATATTTTATAGATCATGAGAATATTTTAAAACTTTCCATCCTGTAGGTAATAAAAAAGACATTTTTTTTTTCAATACCCCATTGACAGTTTGGCTAGTCCACAAGGGAGGCGGCCGGGTGATGAAGAAGCCCGACATATTCCGGACATACACCCACCCACCCACGATTTCCTATTCATACTATAATATTTTTATTTAAAATTTTATGGAAAAAAAACTATATGTTTTAAACATTTAAAATTGATTCAAATTACTCTACTAAGTTATCTCTAACTTAATTTGAATAATAACGATTCCAATTGGCATTTTCATATATTAATTAAACCACAGACAAAACTTCTAAAATCTGAAATGAAAGGTAGATTTTAGCAAAGACCCCTCCCTGGTTTCTAGATAAATATGATTCTATCATCATTGTATAAAGTAGACCCTTCCTATAATACTGTTGATAATTCCGTGTTATATGAATTCCGTGTTATATGAGTCACTTAGATTTTACAAATACGTGAGCCGTTCACAGCCGGCACACGTATTTGTAAAATCTAAATGACTCATATAACACGGAATTATCAACAGTGTTATAGGGGGGTCTATTGGAACTAAACGGATACAAAATAAATACATGCTATACATGCTAAGTGTCATGCACGTGAAGAAATTCGGAAAAATCCGCAAGGCCAATACGCAGACCTGGTGAGCTTACTACGTTTATGAGCTATATTAAATTGAATACAAAATAAATGGTCAATTAAGATCCTTTATTCCTAGAAACAAAGCATTCTGAGTATAGACTACTAAATTCAATTATTTAAGCCAGTAATTAAAACGATTCGTAAGAATAGAGGTAAAGCATTTTATCATGTTAGACAATAAGATTATTGGGCGATAATTCGACGGCAAAAGACGATCATATTTTTAGATATTCTATGTTTTACTTTATGTATTTCACTGTTAGGTCATTAAACGGAAACGATCTCGCCAATTAGCTGGCAATGTGAAATTTTCTGAGCTTCTTTTACGTGTCTATTACCTAAATAGGGTCCAGTTTTCTATAAAATATCTCTCGAGAGGCATCGCCCACGTATCCTAGCCAAATAAACCTAAACCAAACCAAGTGGTCTCAACCCACTCTCCTATTACCTAATCATTCCTACTATTTATGTCAATTTGGCAATCCGATATTGGTAGATCTTGTAGGCAAGAGCTAATTGTCACCTATTATACACTGAATATCATGTTTACATTTAAACCAATGAGAAATTACACCATAGACTAAATAGGTACATCATGTGTGCATCTTTTGCAATCCAGTTCTTGAAGAACGTTTGGATTTCCTAGCGAGAGAATCACCTCGTATATAAACAATGGTATAAGAAATGGGTTATAATTAGTTTTAAAATATATGTTCTCCACCTCAAATGAATAGTGGCTTGCCCCTGTACGTCATACTTTTCCTTTAACAAAAGAGTCGTGCCGGTCATCTATTAATTACTTTTAGGAGAAACGTTTTGAATTGAAATAACGTGATTTTTAGTTAATCGGGGCCTCCTGTCTATAAGCTTTCAATACCTCTTCTCGATTTTCATCTATCTAACTCCGTTCTCGAGATTAAGGAAAGACAAACGGACGGACGACAGTGAGAATTTATAGTTTTATAATATTTAAATAATTTTTTAAAATTTATTTTCCTCGCTCGTATATAGATAATAGTCATTTTAATAAAAACAAGACGAGAAGGAAATTATTAAATTATTTTTCGACATAATAGAATTATATAGAAAGATAAAAATGATATTCGAAATTTATTGCTGTATAAATAATGACGACAGAAATTACTCATTCTTAGTTTTAAAACCAGTTTCATGCAAAGTTTAAAGCTAATAAAAGCTACTATTACAGTAGACGACCCTTTACGACTATTAAGTGATCTTGTTAAATGATTATATTGTCATGTTCAAGTATCTACGTCAAACAATAAATTATATCAAGGTAATTTATTTACAAACAGATTCATATTTAAGAATAAAATGGTAAATTAAAAAATATATACAAGTCGACCCCCCTATAACACTGTTGATTTTTCCGTTTTATATGAATTCCGTGTTGTACGAGTCACTTAGATTTTACAAATATATGAGCCGTTCACAGCCAGGCACACGTATTTGTAAAATCTAAGTGACTCGTACAACACGGAATTCATATAAAACGGAAAAATCAACAGTGTTATAGGGGGGTCGACTGGTATTTTTACTTTGCCAAAAAAAATTACTAGAAATTATTATTAAACATTACCCGGTAAAAATAACCGTATTTCTTTTTATTGTTTACACTAATGACGAACTGTAATTTGACAGACCAAAGTCGTGACCATTGTTAAATAAATAAATTGGTAGTTTTGTACTGACTTAATTAAACAATCCAAATAATTTCCTATTGAATTTATCATTATTTCTCACACAAATTATTCCTTTAAAAGAAAACTTTCTAATTTAAACAGATATTAAGTCTATATGCTACAGCTTTTATTTTAAATACAGAGTATTGTTTAAATTACACAATATAAAATTACAAACGATATGACTCATCAGGTGGCGCTGTGACATCCTGCCTATCGTGTAATAATTTAGTGTTTATATCATTCGTTAATTTACCTATTCAAAGAAGGAAAAAGAAAACGACTTGCGGTTAAGTTAAGCTTACCTTGTTTTAAACTGTCTTGACATTAATCCTTAATTAAAGTCGTTACACGGTAGATTCGTTGAAGTATTAAGCCGGATAATGGAGGAAATCTTGAACTAGAGTTACCTTTTACTATTACTTACTTTTTAAACCAATTGCAATAAAGAAATACTTGAATTTTTAGATAATTGAGACGAGTAATATTTGTTTTTACACATTAACTAAAGATATAAACGCATTATAAACTTTTGCATCTATTTTGAAGAATACAAAATAGTAGCGAATTTAGGTAATCCGCCACTGTATTCTTCTGCATTTCGATAGAAACTTATAGAAATTACACGCATAAACTCGTAATATACTTTGATTTTTTATCATCAGAATTCCCTTTCAAGAAATTACACTTTGGCAGAGTTGTACAGTCGACCCCCCTATAACATTGTTGATTTTTCCGTTTTATATGAATTCCATGTTGTACGAGTCACTTAGATTTTACAAATACGTGTGCCGGATTGTGAACGGCTCACGTATACAACATGGAATTCATATAAAACGAAAAAATCAACAGTGTTATAGGGGGGTCGACTGGCATATAGCAAATTTTGATAATGATTAATCAATTATTCAGGACACGTTTGGTCGTTTGTAAAGTGATTTAACGATTTCTTCCGATGCCTGCCTTGAACTCCTCATTCACGTGTATATATATATTTATGTAAAAACTTGTTTATATTACCAAGGTGACATATTTTCCACACCGAATTTCTACTTACGACATGACAGGCTATACTGCACGATCTATTTATAAATACACGAATGAGCATTTTTCATATGGTACGGGTCAATTTATTAACGAAAATAGAATGTTTCCTTCTGGCATTTGCTTGTTTCTTTCAATTTATCTACGTTTTGTAACCTTTCATTCTCGTATCGTTTTACGGAAGTGGAAGCTCTGGCACAGCAAGATAGCTAGAAAGATAAATAAGCTTAAAGGAGAAATAGTACAATGAGTTTAAATTTTAGTGGATAAACATAAATTATACGAACTTACCTAAATATATTTTGAATTGTTAAGACAATAGAATGAAAAATACAGTGTTAAACAGTTGCTAAAAGAGAAAAAGAAATCTCCGTGCCAACTCCCCTTTAGATATCATCTGAATTCATTAATGAAAATGTTGTAAAGTAGATCATTACAGCGGATAATAAACCTAAATGCTAATAAAAAACATAAATAATCCAGAATAAACATTATTTACACAGTGTTATGTACTGCTTCATTCGGGTTACAGGTCAGAGTGCACGACACCGAAATTATAGGTTTGTATCATAACTCGTTCCATATATATATAGAGGTACAAGTGTACATTATTGTGAAAGATTAACTATTATAAGTCCATTTCAGCACATGACAGGTTTAATTATCTTTAAGGAAATCTGGAAAAAGACTTTCTTTTTAGGAAAATGTCATGGTAAAATCTATGAGATCGTTAAGTATTGTTATCATTACATCTGTGCTTCTCTCTCTGTTTTATTTTCCATTAAATTTTGGGTAATTCAGTTTTATTATCTCGAGTAATATCGAAACGAAATGAACTAATTACAGAAAGTAGGGAGGTAAATGTTTCTTCCTGCTGTGAAATCATGCTTTTGAATTACTATCAGTTTTTATATCAAAGTTTTAAGAATAATATTCTATAATATGTATATATACATATATAGGGCCTATTTAAAATTAATATTTTATATTTAAATATAAGAAAATGAGCTTATTTATATATCTGTATGTATATTTTGAAAAGATACCATAGCTTTAATATAGCTTTAAAGAAGAAACTTTCCACCACGTGGACACTAAAAGGGCTTTTTCGTACGTATTGTGTGGGTTCTGCAAGACCCACAATAGTGAGGAATGGAACCGTATATTAGGCCCATGAAAATTT